GGGAGCTACTACCTCAATGAAATCACAGATCCAAATCTATCTCGTCAAATCTCTGATGCTTCTAAAAGAGCTCAACTATTACTGAAGACTTCCTCTCTTTTTTATGTCATTTATGGGATTTGTCACTAATGTAAATTCTCTTATGTTTAGTTATGATGTCTTCTCCAGTCAGTCTTTCCCACATTATTGCTTTTTTGTAGTTTTTCTCCACTAAGGTCTCTCAGAAGTAAAGCATGACCCCATGCCTGAAGGCTTTCTCCCTTTCCTAATATTCCAAGGTTTGCTCTACAGCATAAATTCCTTGTGTGGATACTTTCCTACATTCACTACTTTAAGAAAAAGGAATAAAATTTCACAAATAATTTGCCATAGCAGACTACATCTTTACAAAAACAAGTGATTAAAAGATGTAGATAATATAAAATCCCATGGCTTGTTGATTCAATATAGCATTTCATTCAGTAGACTAAAGCCCAGTCTTAATGGGAATCTTCCTCCAATAAGGAGTCAGTCAATAAATAAGTATTTATTAAGTGCATATTATATGCCTGGCACTGTGCTAAACACTGGGAACACAGAGAAGGCAAAAGACAGTCCATGCCCTCAAGAAGCTCACAATCTAATGGAGTTTTTTATGCAAATGCTAAGATCAAGTTACATTTCTTGATAAATGCAAAAAAAAAAAAAGCTGTGATGTGCTTCCAATGATCACTGGCTGCCTTTCAGCATAATCACTCATCTTCTAGTGATGCAGGAAGCTTATGAATCTTAGAACACCATAATCCATGAAAAATTAAAATTATGGGTGACTGAAAAAGCACTGGTGGGAGCCAATAGGTGCATGACATTTCCAATAAGTAATTATGAGCATAAGCTTTGCAATGTATATACCTGAGGAGATATATGCTCAGAATAGGTGATGGCTGGTCAAAGAACAAGAACAAGGGAGAGTTAATGGCATAGCTGAAGGTGGCACTAGTAAAAAGTGCCATAAACTGTAAAAAGACCTCAAGGAAGGCCTCCAGCATGTGACATTGCTCCTTAGAAGAGGATCTAAGGTAGAACATGGGCAAGAGTTACACAGAATGAGTAGGCAGGAATAAACTCATATTGATGAGATTGCAGATTTGCTGAAATATCTTTTAAACATTCAAATGAAAAATGAACTATTTTGACAGAAATCTTTCTAAAATGTATAATGTACTCTTTTGCCTTACTAAAAGAGCTTGAGCACAATTTAATGTTCCCTTGGTGATTATGAGATTAATTAGTTTAATGCAATGCTATAATACAGTAATGCCCTCAGGTATAGAGGGCTATTTGCCCCCAACACACTAAACATGCAACCGTTGTGCTTTTTTAATGGGTATTTCTGCTGTCTCCTCCTTTGCTGTCACTTCTAGATTTTAGTCAATATGCTTTTCTTCTCATTCTACTATACAATCCTCTGTAGTTTAGGAAAAATCAAATATTGCCAGGGATACTAGTTAGTCACAGAATTCCCAAATGACAGAATATCAGAGCCAAACAACATCTCAGCAGCCTTTTAGTCCAATCTATAACCTAAGAGGAATTCCTATTACAATATGTGGCAGCTAGGTGACTCAGCGGATAGAGTACCTGGAGTTAGGAAGGCTCAGCTTCCTAAGTTTAAATCTGGCCTCAGACGTCTATTAGCTGTGTGACCCTGAGCAAGTAACTTAACCCTGTTTGCCTCAATTTCCTCATCTGTAAAATGAGCCAGAGAAGGAACTGACAAACCACTCTGATATGTTTGCCAAGAAAACCCCAAATGGTGTCACAAAGAGTCAGACACAACTGAAAAATGACTAAACAACAAAATCATAATATACCTAACATACAGTCATCAAATTTTTTTGAAGTTTCAAATGAGAGGAAATATATTACTTCCTAGGGTAGTCCACTCCATTTATGGATGGTCCTAATTGTTTCAAAGTTTTTCATGACATCAAACCTAAGTCTACTTATTTAAAATTTCCACTGCTCCAGGCTCTATACTAACAAGTCTGATCCCTTTCCTACATCACATTCACTGTATTAATATAATTTCTCTCTAATATGAATTCTTTAACGTTGGTGATTTGTGACTGAAGCTTTCCTCACAATTACCACGTGAAAATTGCTTCACTCCGTTATGAATTCTCTCATGTGAAATAAGTTATGAGACTGCTTTTTTCATATTTATGCTTTGAGTGTTTCCCTGAAGTATGAATTCTCTGGTATACAATAAGGTATTCCCTTCAGCTGGAGGATTCTCCCACAGTGTTGTTAGAAGGAAGGCACTATACCAATGTAGGTGGTTATTATTCACATCCTCCAATAAGAATAAGTATTCTCAAAGTTAGGGTTAATATAAACAATCCTTACAAACCTTTAAAGTTAAAGTTAATTCTCATCTCTACCAATGGAAACACCAGGTTAGGACAATGGTGAGATCTATGACAAAAAGGAAGGGGTAGGAAAGAAGTGAAGCTAATGGTGCCAGAACAGAGGACTCCTAACTTTGGTGAAATGATAAAAGGATTTTCTCTTTGTAAACTGTCAAAAAACTTATCAGGTTGATAGTTGGGTGGAAGAAAAGAAAAGTACTCAGTGGATTATTAATCATTATACTAGGTTTCCCTCATGTGTTTTCCTTCTTTGAAAATACTATCATTGGTTTGTAAAATTATAGATCTTATATTTAATCTGTAACTGTGTCATCCTGAAAAATGAATATTGGGAACCTTCAGTTTATTTTGCTTTTGAAAATTTAACAGCCAGAATATAAGCAGACAACAAATAAATTTTTAAAAAAAAACTCAATTAAAAAAAAAAGGAAGTGGATTTACAAGCAGGACCCAGTCTAAGTCTTTATTTTTAAATTTTGTTTTTTCCTGAAATTGAGATAATTTGGATTTAAAATACAATGTGCCTTAGTGGATAGACAGGACCTCAGAATTGGGAAGAGTTCAATGCCGTCTCTGAAACATACTTGTTGGGTATCTCTCTAGATAAGGCATACGAACCATTCTTTTCCATTGTCAACTCCCTAATACTACAGGTTTCAAAGCAGCTGCAGATCTGCATTGGTAGAGGGAGTTCCTAACTAGGAGCTCCCTGTATGGATGAAATCACAGGCCAGATTTGAAATAAAATAAATGCTAAGATGGATACATAAACATTTTTAAAAAATGAATGAAGACAGCATGTAATATTGCAGAGTACTTGAATACAAATGCACTTTCATCCATTCAACTGACTAATTCAACTTTAAAATTTCAACCGGGCACCTGCTAGATTGAAAACATTGTGTATTGTGCCCCAAGCAACACAAAAGAAGGGGAGAAACAGTCCTTGACTCCAAGGAGTTCACAATTTACTTAAAGCTAACAATGAATAGTAGGATTCAAGATTCCACATTGGAAATAATGTTTCATCATCTTTTGAGGCAACTGTCATTGAAGTATTTGCATACAGTATCGAGCAATATGTTTTCATTAAATTTTTACATTTCTTAAGATTGCAGTGTGATGGATGCCATTTGCTCAGGATGCATTTAATGTCAGATGATGAGAAGATGCAGGTGATTTATCCAAATGTAACAAAATAAAGTGTGGTCTGCTCTAACCATCTCTATATCATACACTTGATTTAACATACTCAGCTTTCTTTTAAAATACATTCATATGGAGTGATACTTTTTTTTAAAAAATCAGATATTAGACCAAAGGAGTCTAAGCCACAAATAGAGAGCCAAGAAGAACATTGAGCAATGTTGACTACACACCTTTTCACGAATCTGATTGCAGAGAAGAGAAGGAAGAAACAGACTGTTGATCAAGGAGCTGAAGAAGTAAGAACACATTTATAGATTTTATATCAGAAGATTCAGTGAAACAAAAGAAAGGAATGTAAGTGAGCTGATTCCCAAAGGGAAAGAGTAAATATAATGCCTGTGTCTGTACAGGTAAAATGAAGTGGTCAACTCAGAGTCAATAAGGAGACTTTCATGTGGAATATTTTCCTCAATGTTGCAAAACAATCTGTTTTTAAAAATGATCATTTTAATTAAATGTTTCATAACATTCATGTTTCTTTGTCATAGTGATATCACACAGATGCTTACAAGATATAGACCCATAAAGCTTAATCCTTTCATCTTTATCAGCTGACTGATTAATTCATTCAATATATACATTTTTGAGGGCACTTTAGCAATGTCTTTAAAAAATCTAAACATTTGCTGAACTTGATGTTGATTGCATTACATTTATTGTGTCAGTGCTGGGAGGTCCTTAGAAATGTGCATGTTTAATGAAGTGGGAGGAAGATGCCATAGATATACAATATCTCTTAAGGTTAAATGCCTGGTTTAAGAAAACCTTTATACAAATATGAACTAAAAAGCTAAATTAGAAGAGATAATTATTCATATCACATGAGATTGCTTTGCAAAAGAGCTCTCTAAGATACTCTAAAAGAAGAGATTGTATTTATATATGTATGTTTTTTGTGTGTTTATACACCTGTGTTTATTTTAAGAAATTCTTAAAAAGAAACAGAAAGAAGAATCACAGAAGGACTATATTTTAATAAGATGCCATTAACATGGGAAAATAAATCAGAGGAGATAAAGCCTCTCTTTAAGTATTGGTTAGTGAGAAAATATTAATTTTATTAAAATATTAAATTTAAAGAATCCTTATGGGTACAAAATTGTGTAAAACCAAATATGAGTATATCTGAGAAGTTAACAGAGTGATTGATATATATATATATATATATATATAATAGCTGCGGATCTAAAAAAACTTTTTAAAAATTCATTACCTAGCATTTTTAATTATCATTAGGTAAAAGGACCACCTTCATTTTAATACATCACAAAAACCAATATGACACATTCAAAAATACTTAAGCAGGATGTTTCACTAAGATGAATATTATTTACATTATGTCCTTAACATAAAGGGAAAAAAAAATTCTAAAAGACTAACCTTTGCCAAGTAGCCCTCCACTCTGCTTTTTGAAGACACTATGTTTCCAGTAGAATATACTAAATTTCCTCTTGGAATAAGATTTCTACTGAGGACCATATTCCCAACATGTGGTGGCTCCAGAACTGGACTTGCAGTAAAACTGTTGATTAAAATTTTATTCTTTTGTTTTTCATTCAGGTGTTGGGCACTCACCTCAGCTAACCTCTCTGTAGTTCTGTGAACATTTTAAAGCACAAAAATGGTTAGCATTTTTCTTAAATGGTTGTTTTTTTATTAATGCTCTCATAATTGTGATTTTTCCCTGAGTAGTTTCTTAACTCTGACAACAAGTAAAATATGAAAGTTATTAAAGTTTTTGCATAATTGAGTTCCTTCCATTAAAGTTTTTTCCAAATAAATGGTATAAAGAAATTGAGTGAAGAAAAAGTTTTTCCAACTGTCCTGGGAAAATCAAAAACAAACCAAACCAAAAAAGATACATGCAAACCTGGGGTTCCTAACTAATCTGATCTTTAAGGAAGTCATTAAAAAGACTTGCAGTCTATAAATTCACATTGGAAATTAGTACAGTTGTTTTAAGGGTAGGTATCAAATCTGGATGATTATCCCAGGCAGTGTCTCCAGGACCCAGGTAGCAGCCAAATGACTCAGGGATGCAGTCTCTAGGGAGAAAAGGAGGTGACTCAGTTGAGGCTAAAAATAGTCCTGAGGCTCTCAGCTGAATAGCCAGCCCATAACACCTACCCACCATTGTCACCAAGATATACAGCAAAGCAGATTGCTCCATTCCTTTTTTTTTTTTAACAGACAGTATCTTTTGGTTATCAAAGACTCTAATCCAAACCCTTCTGTAATATTTCGTTTCTTTCTTTTTCCCTCCATTAGCTTCCTCAATGAGCTTTCACTTGTACAGAAAATTGAAAGGGTGGGACAACAGGGAACTGAGGGGCATGGTACGACTTGTTGTGGGTCAGCAGGATGACCTTGAGTTGTTCAGTCCTGGTTGCCACCATTAGGAGGTTATTTATAATGTGTTATATATTGCTATGATCCGGTTATACATTTTCAGAAATACTTTAAACATTTTAGTATTATTACTTGGCAAAATGAGAATAATGTTATGTTAATTTTCAAAATATTTAACTTCATCCTGGAAGAACTAATCTGTAGCAGATAGTAAAAAGAAATAATATGGCATTTCAATAAGACACATTTAAAAATAGATTGAGGACTGAAAGGGATCTCAGAAGCCACCTAATCAAATATCCTCATTTTAAAGATGAGGAAACTGAGACCCCAGGAAATTAAATGACTTGCTCAAGGTCATACAGTAGTAAGCATCAGAGGCAAGATTTGAAGCCAGGTCCTTTGACTCTACAGCCAGAATATCATCTTCCCAATATACCACACTGCATTCTTTTGTTAACCTTGTTAACATTTTAAAAATTATTTGGTTTACTAATATGTATAAAAGTATAATCTCTACAGTTAACCCCCATTTCTCAATGAAGTCATAGATCAATCCATTAAGGATTTGCTAAATTCAAAATGGAAAACTTTAAAAGCAATCTGATAAGTTTAAGTACTACTTTCTTAGTGTCCCTGGTTTGGGCTTACCTGTCTAATTTGTTTGACAATGATTTTCTGATTTTTAATTCTTCAGAATAAAGCTGTCTGTATCTCTCTCGCTCTGCCTCAGCAGACTCTTGATGTGACTTTTTCATTTTGGAGATTTCTGTTTCCAGATCTCTAATTCGTTGCTCCATTTGGTTTCTTAGGGAAGCATCGTTATTTTCTCTTAATTGTTCTAAGTTCTCTTGGGATGCTGCTTGTATCTAAACCAAATGGAAAACAAAGAAGGAAATAAACAAAAAACTGCCCAACTCTACCCTGAAGATTATAAGCTGTTTGTTACCATAATCTGTTAGGTTTCGTTTTAATTTCAGTCAGTGATTCAGAGAGCAATTCTGAATTTCTAAAGATAGAGTCTAACTTTGAAAGTACTCATTATCAAGGCCAGCTGAATTAAATTTGAACTTAAAAAAAAAACCAACCTGTTTCTATTGGATGTTAGTTCACTAGTTCTTATCCTAGCACTAATATTATGATCATTATAAAAACAATAGGTATAATTCTAAAAAAATAACTCTAGAATCTTCTGAATGTTTTGTTACAATTAAAATATTTGTTAAATCAATAAAAACACACCCTTCAATTTTTTTTCTAATTACGCCAATCATTTTTTAAAAATTCAATTTATATAGAGCATTGGCCCTGAAGTCAAGAGGGCCTGAGTTCAAATCCAGCCTGAGACACTTGATATTTACTAGCTGTGTGACCCTGGGCAAATCACTAAACCCCAATTTGCCTAGCCAAAAAAAAAAAAAAAGAACAACCCAACCCCCCACCAAAAAACCCCATCTCAACTGACAGTATATGTGGTTATTTTCACTTATGATTTCAAAGGCTATTATTTTCTTTATTGAAAAAACAGAGATATCAAGCTCATGGAAACCCATAGAAAAGAAGGCAGAGGGAGAAAAATTAAAAAAAAAATTCTAAATTTAGAAGAGGGAAAAAATCCTAAACCTTCATTTACAAAAAAAAATTTTAAAAGCATAGTAGGCATAAATAAAGTAACCTGTAAGAATAGGTTGACTTCTTTTAGTTTTTCAACAATCTCTTGCCTCGCTCGTTCTTCAATCTCACGTTTATATTGTTCTATTTGACTGCCTTCTAGCTTAGTAATTTCCAAATGATGCTTAAGATTAACTACTTCTTCTTCCAATTGTCTTTTATTCTCTTCCAGCTTGTCACATTTCTTTTGCAAGATTTTCATGGACAGTAACTCTTCTCCAAGACTTTGATTCATTGATTCCAACTGCTTACATCTTGAAGATGCTGCTTCCAATTGTTGGGTAAGGTCTTCAATCTGTTTGTATAAAATATCAGGTTAGCAAATTACACAAGTAAAATAAAGCTCTTTCAACTTAAATACTAACAAGATTAAATTATTAAATGTATCATCATCCTTATATTTCAGCTACAAAATGCATTTCCTAAAATGATTATTTAGGTAAATTGACAAATCAAAAACAAAGTTAAGACTGAAAGGAGAAACCTTGAAATGATATTACTAGCTCTTACAGTCGGTATCATCCACATCTAGTACTTGATCCCATGTTATCTTCTGTGTTCTCTAATTTTTCCATGTGTCTTTTCCACCCAACTTTAAGCACAGTGAACAGATATCAATAAAATTCATAGTAGATCACGCCTAAAGCAACAATAGATCTTAAAAGGAATTTGGAAAGAAATGAGATTCCCTTTTATCATCCTGATGAGAACATTGATTCTATGATGGTAGACTTTACCGAGAAAGCAAATAAATTTGATAATTTGAATGTCACATGGTGAGATGTTCAGTTACAGAGCCAGAGAAAATAATGTCTTTCTCGTCTACAAAACTCTGGTGATAGTACCAAGGGAACAAATCACATTTACCAGAGTTTCTGTTGTGTAATGGTCCTCTTCCTGCTCCCCGAGTACCTCACAATATAAACCAACAAGCTTAGCAGGACTTCTACCTGTTTTCCCTCAGCCCCTGGAGTTAGATGACTGACTGAAATAAGTGATAAACAAAAAAGTGTGACACCACCGAGTTCCAAAGGGCAAAAACTCAATATATGTTAAGAAATTGATTCTTTTTGATAAACATTGATGAGAACTGCAAGACAGCAGACATGAACTAGGAAAATTACTGATAGTAACATAAAATGTTTTTAAGGAGTCATGTGTCATTATAGAAGAAAAAATAGACTACTACTAGTTAGCATTTACATAGCACTTTTATGTTTGCCAGCATTACCTCATCTGAACACTTATGATGTTTTTCAAAACGTCTTTGTGACTTTCCCCTAACTTGAGGTGGCATAAGATGTTAAAGTTGGGGAAATGTCTCAATATCACCAAACACTAGAAACTTAAAAAAAGATTAGTAGCTTCAGATGAATCAGTCAATTTATTATTCTTCCAGCAGGGGGCAAATTATTTGCTTCTCCAAAATAGAAAAGCAACGTATAGGGCATACTGCAATAGAATGGTTTTTACCCACTTATTGGTGGAATGAAGTGAAAATCTTCTAATACTAGAGTCCTTCCCTCTCTTAAACCAACTCAAGTCCTGTTTTTAAAGAGAAAGTCTTTAATTTTTATAACTCTGTGTTGTATTATGAAGTTTCTTAATATTTACATTGATCACCCTGCAATCAAATGGTTGCTTTGTTTTTTGTCATTTTAAAATCTCTTAAAGAGCTGCTACTTTTCAAATTGTTTCTATTAGTCAACCTTTTTGGGGGGATATTTTTTCATATTTAGGATTATAGAAGCAGAGTATCAGAGGGAGCTTAGAGGTTTAAAGAGGCCCTATAAATACTGACCATAAAAGGCTTTCCAGCATTTGGTTTCTTCAAACCACCCACTTCCCCTTTGAGACCACTCTAATTGCTAGAAAGTTTTTCTTTACATCAAACCTAAATTTGTATCTTTGCAACTTTCATTCGTGAGCAAAACAAGCCTAATATTTCTCCCCCTTGACAACGCTTTTAAATCCTTGAGAAATGCTTTTAATGCTTTTAACATATGAAATAGATATATTTCATATGAATTCCATAATTTGAGTAGAAAAAAAGTTTCTAATATGCAAAACTACATAGAAAGTCACTAGAGCCCAGAATTTTCAGGAAGATATAAAGCCCCCAAACTTGTGTATTGAGTCCCTCAGAGCAGCAAATACTATGTCACTAGGGCTTAGATAGAAAATGTTGCCTTCCAAGCATGGGGACTTTTATCTTCTCATGGGTACTGCTGTTCCGTTACAACTATAATTTCAAAAACAATATAAAGATATGACATTTCACATTTTCCAATAATAAGGATTACCTTATTTTCTAACCTATTAATTTGTCTCTCCATTTCAGAATGTGTTTGTTTCAGTCCCTCCTCATAAACATCTCCTTTTTCATATTCCCTTAATTTCTTTTGTGTTGTTTTCAACAGTTTTTCAAATCTGTGAGAATGAACAGAATAATTAAGTTAAACTCTTTATAGTTTAAATATTTTTATTCATATATTTAGATTATTTAAATACATTTAAAACATATTATTTTTGACCCATTGTCTTAAATTATCTTCAATCACAGAGAAGAAAATAAATTTAAGAAGAGTTCTCACCCAACTCAAATCCAATTTTGTTAAAATAGTAGCCTCACTAATCATTTTATCTCTATTTCAAAAGATGTATATTCATCGTCAGTTCTTCATTAATATAAGTTCATTGTAGAATATTCCCCAAATGATTTCTGGTTATGCTCTAATATTTGTAGAAAGGAGGATACCTCCCAGTAATATAATAAAAAATGTAAGTGAAAAGTAAATTTATTTTGAAAAGTTTTATGGTGATGTTTTGTGCCTTTGCTATTTTAATTGTAGATCTGTGTAAATTAGCTGGTGAAGTATTTAAATGCCCTAGCCCCCAAAACACAAATGATATCATTTAATGTTATTAAAATACAAAGTTGCATTTAAAATGTTTGTTTAATGGAGGTAATATAGGCAGTCCCTAACTTGAAAAGTCAATTGGATCTCAAAAGTTACTTTGTAAATTGACTGGTTGGAACAGGGAATCTATCTTCCCCACTCTGAGCTAGTACTCTAGAAAGCAGTTCAATAAAAGCCCACGAAAACCTAATTAAACCATAACACTACTGAATTACAGTCCTGGAAAACGCGTGATGATTTGGAGACTCTCCTCTGCCACTGGAAATGCAGACTCTAGCCTGTGGTCAGAGGATCTGATACCTCAATAGTGGTGGCCTCTTGCCATATTCAATTAAAATTCATCAATTGGAATTCAATTAAAATTCAACTAGAAAGCATCAAGTGCTTACCCCTAAAGGTTGTGATATAATACTAAATTTAGACAGACCATGGTCTGGGCTTTCATTCAGCTGGAACATAAGATATGCATGTAGATAATTACAATACACAACAAATGGTAAGAGCTTTAGGGAAGTGTAGCAGAAATTGTAATGGGAAATCTCATGGTGAAGGTCATTCTTTATCCACAACAGATCAGAGTAGGCCCCAGAGTAGGCATTTGGGTAAGGATGAGTGCAGAGGCCTTGAGTGAACATTACAAGCAAAGGGCAGAGGCAGGAAAGCGCAAGGCATGTTTTGAAGGACAGACAATAGTCAGTAAAAGAGAGAATAATATAATTTAAGTGTGGAAAGACAAGATGCTGCCACATTGTGAAGGGTCTTAAATTCTAGGCCAAGAAATTCTGTAGGGTCTAGCTCAAAAGTCATATCTGTAATGGAATCTTGCTGATCCCACCAAGTCAGAAGAGATCTTTTCCTCCTTTAGTCTCTGTTGCATTTTCTTTGGACCATTCTTAAGCACTTACCACATTCTTATTTGTACACATTATTTGAGTCCTTGCATTATCTCTTTCACTAGATGTAATCACCTTCAAAGCAGGGACTGTACATTAGTCATGTCTGTAACTCCAGGGACTAGCACAGTATTTTATATTCAACAGATGTTTCATAATACTTTTTGAATAAATGATAAAAGAACAAATAATTGAATAATGAAGGAAATAAATTAGGATAGAAAACATAGAGACCTACCTTACAGAAACATTTATGTGCAGAAATAGTATACTTAACAAGAGACTGTCAAATGCTATAGAGTGTAATTGTGGAAAACATTTAAATGTGCTACACAGCATTTTACTATAACTTCAAAGATGCAGGTCAGAAGGTTTGATTTTCATTAATCATTTAGTGAATAAAATGAAAATGAAAAAAACTCTTTGTTCACTTAGAATGATACATGCTGTAATTATCCAAATGTTAATGTATAAAATGAATTTGTACTTAGGATTTAACAAAATAGTTAAGTCTTTGCTTACTTAATGTTTGGTTGAAACAGTCTGGAAAAAAGTATCTTACCCACTGAGCTCTTTCTGTAATTCATCATTTCTCTTCATTTCTTGTTCTAGACGATTTTCCAGAGATTGCTTTAACTCAATGAGTTTCTTTAATTTTTCCCTTTCAGAATTAAGCTTTGAAAACATTTTATAAAGAAAAGTATTACAAGAACATTTCTAAAAAGGATACTTTTCATTAACTCAAGATCCAACTGTAAATATTAAGTGTAGTTTATAAAATCAAAACAAATATGGAGAGATTTGAAAATGATTGATCTTACTTAAAACAACATAGCCTTCCTCTGATTTCACTACAAACTATTTCTTTTTTGAAATCTGGATCAATGAAAGTTCTTATTTGATTTCTCTTCTCTCTCTCTCTCTATATGTGAATTACACTAATAATGTTAATAAATTTTAAAATGGTTGAAATGCATAGGAATGCATAGAATGTGGGCCAAGTTGGCCAATACACCTTAGAGGAGCACTGGCCTCCCCCCTTTCTCTAGAACCAATGGAAATGGTCCCCTCATCCCTATTTCCCCTCTGTTGGCACACCTGGCCCATGTTCTAAGCATTCCTATTATGAAATGTATAGATGTGTGTGTGCGCGTGTGTCTGTGTGTGTGTGTGCTCTTAGGTTAGGCTATAAAACTGTTCTCCAAATCTCTGTATTTGGCTGAGATGCAACCTGTGTAAATTCATATTTTGTTATTCTCCTTAAGTGCTGTCTATTGCTCTAAATTATGAGCCAGTTAAATGACCTGTCCCTTTGTCAACTTCCTTTCAAAGTTTTCAACTCTCCCTTTGCCAGTGGTCTTCTCTGTCTTACAAAGGAAGAAAGAACCCTCCTCATTCTGCTGAATTCTGCTGCCCCTTCAACATTCACTCCTATTTGTCCTCTTCACTTCCAAACTTCTCCAATGAATGATTATCCCACAGCTGCCCTTTCTTCATCTCTTATTCTCATTTCATTCATCTGTTTATTTATGATTGCTTACTTATTTGGTCTGTATCTCTGATTTAATTGGTATAGGGAAGAGACAGGCCCTGCACCCAGCCTGCAATTTAGAATCTGTAGCTCTCAGAGTCTTAGGGAATGGCTTAGGGCACCAAGAGTTTGCAAGGTTTGCCCAGGATCACAAAGGCATTTATGTCAGAGATGGTATTTGAACTGATGTTTTCCTGATTCTGAGGCTAGCTCTCTAAGCATATAACATAATACTTTTCTTTATTTCCATGGAATCTAGATTACCTCCATACTAGTCTACTGAAACTGCATTGTCAATAGGCAGAAGTTCTATCTGTACCCAAAAACCTTTCTTAGTCTCTGACTTCACTGTAACATAGGATCCTATTTCTCTTATTTGATTTGTCATTTATCATCCCTGTAAATTATTCCTTCATAGTATTTCTCTTTCCTGTTTCATATCACGGCTACCACCTTAGTCCAGACTCATTACCTTAAGCAGAGGATCACAAATTAAGAGGTGAACACCTTATTCTGACCTTCTCATTTTAAATATTAGGAAGCAGGCACATATTAGGAAGAAGTCACTTGCTTATGGATTTTTAAAAAAAGCGCTACAGTCTTTGTGTTTTAGTTTCATCCCCATACCAATCCTTACTACAAGATGCTAAGTTAATCTTCATAAAACACTATTTAGATCATATTAATGACCTACTCAAGAACCTACAATTGGACTGCCATGGTCTACCATATTGAGGCTAAACTTTTCTGCCTTTCTTCCTCTAAAATCTAACCACATCCTATTTTTTCCAACTTTTACTTCTAGTTTCTTTACAGCAACCCTTCTCACACTCCTGTGCTTTTGCTTTTTTTTTTCTAGACTGTATTGTTCTGCTATCCTATTGATCCCTTCCCAGTTCTCAAAGGCAACTCAAAGTTCTATCTTTTCTCTAAAGCTTTTCTTGGTATCTTGCAACAATGATCTCTTCCTTCACTGCATTCTTTGATATTTTTGTTTGTGGCATACAGTGAGCATGCCATTCTAGTTAGTTCTAGCTTCTAATTTTTGTATCACCATTCACTTTAGCTCTTTATTATTTCAGTATCTAATGCTGAGATATTGTATAGGGACATAGCAGGAACTCATTAAATATTTTTTAATGGTAGATTTGGGAGAGCTGACTAGATTAGAGAATAAGAATAAGCAAGTACTTCTTATTATTAAAATTATATATTAATAATATACAAAATAATTATAAAATATATTAGTTTATATATTAACCAAAATATTTTATTATGTATTAACTAATAATTATAAAATATGTTATAAAATTAATACATAAAATTGTATTTTATTAAAAAGATATTATTATATCTTATTATTCTAAGCAAGAAAGCACTCACTTAGAATTGCAGACTGTTACAGCAAAAAGGGACCCTAGTGATGAGTTAGTACATCTTTTATATATGAGGAAACACAGGCCTGAAGACACAAAACCACTTGTCAAAAGTCTTATGGACAGCAAGAGGCTGAGCCAGTACTTAAAATCTTGGAAGAGTCACCTTCAGATACAGGTTTTTAATAATTTATATTTATGCAATCATCTAAAACACACTTTATTAAACTTAGCTATTTGGCAATTGTTCTTCCAAAAGGGGTGGTAACTCAGGAAATCTGTATTGAGGAATTTTTCATGTTGGTAAGAAGAGGACTGGATTAAGGACCACCTGCTTTATTCTCTAACCATAGTGATCTCTCCATTTTATAAATGCTTTATAAATTACTTACTTAAATACCACTCACTTGGTACTTGTTTATATGCTACCTTATATTATAAATGAACTTCCTCTACTTTGCATTGGCTTCCCAGTGAGACTGCAAATTCTTCCAGGAAAGAGGGCATGTCTTACACATATTCTTTGTAACCTGGTCAGAACCTATCATAGTGTAATTCACGTTACTGACATTCACTAGTTGATGAATTAAATGTGGAACAAGGAAGAAACAGTAATTTCACCTAATTATTATATAACAAAAGCTTAGTTACTTGCATGATCAGGCAAAGAAGACAGGGAAGAAATAGTGCCAGTTTGCCCTGAATGCCAATTAACTGAGTTAATTCATATGGCCAAAGATGGATTCTTATTTATTGCCTCCTTGCTATACCTTCTGAGGCTCAGTGCACACCTAGTTTCTAGACTAAAGCCTGAAGCAAAAAGCTTTTGAAGGTTAATATTTTAATCAGTGTAGCCCAAAAAGAATAGGAGGGAAATAAAAAGAATGAGTGATAGGAAAGTTACTTAAGAAATAAAACTTATTTCATTCCAATTCTAATTTCTGAAACCTAGAAATATTTCTCAAGTGTACAAATATGAAAGAAAAAAAGTTTTCATAAGAATGAGATTAGACCTAATTCTCAGTTAAGACAATTATACTTGTTAACTAGGTAAGAGAACTGTTTCACAGCACATTAGGAAATACTGGCCTTTATGTTTCTGAAGCAGAGAAACAAGCATTTATTAAGTGCCATTTGATTCTCACGACAATCCTGGGGGGCAGGTCCCCATTCTACAGTTGAGGAAACTGAAAAAGATTAAGTGACTTGCCTAGGATCACACAGATAGTATCTGAGGCCACATCTGAAGTCAGATCTTTCTAACTCCAGGCCCAAAGTTCTATCCACATCTGCACCAAGCAGCCTCTAAGCAGAGAAAAATCTCATCATCAAAAACTCTATGTTTGGCTGCTTTGGCATAGATTTCCATTACTTTACCACTGATGATGATAACTAGGTTAAAAATGTGTTTTGAAGGATATCAGAAATATCCATTTCTACAGCTTTTGGCTGGTATAATGATGAATACCATACCTTTAACTGCATATAATATAAATGTAGGACAACAACCTAGAATAGAGAAATATGTTTTATAGTAATAAAGGGAACACTTCAGGAGAATTCGACTGTGAAACTGTATTCTATACTTAACTTCTTCATTTTTATAGTTTTTAATAATAACAGTAATGAGAAAAATAATTTTACACTAAATTTCTATTTTGCCATTGGAGGGCTCTGGGAAATTAAAAATTTATAAAAAAATCAGACTAGAAAGAAACTCAAATTGTTTAGTCTGAATACTACCTTGGAGTAATTTTATTTTTAGTTAAACTTTCATGGCAAAATCAACAAATAAATATTTATTTAGCATCTACTACTACTCCTACTCCTACAACTTTTATGTCTACCACCAACATTCTGTGAAAAGGAAGTTCTATGGAAGATAAAGAAGTATAAATAATCCCTGTCCTCAAGGAATTACAATCTAGTTGGGGAAGCAAGACTTAGGCACAGGAAAGGATAGTTTGATAACAGATATGAACAACATAAGGCAATCAATATACAGTTAAATACTAATATATAGTATCAGATGAAAAATGGAATTCAGAAGGCTGTGAAATCAATAGGGCTGAAAAGTAAAAAAAAAGGCTTATGGCAAAAGAATCATACTTTTGTAATTCAAAAGGATCTTAGAGGTGAAGGTGGTACTTGAAAAGCAGAGTGCTGAAGAATGGATAGGTTTTGGATAGGTAGCACAGATGGGGAAGTATAACTAACTAAGCAAGAAGAAGAACATGACCATCTGTATGGAGATGGAAATCAACGTGGTGAGATCAGTTTGAATAAATTAGCAGATAATGATGAGATTATCCATCTAATTACTCTAATTTTCAATTTCACTTTGCATGCACAATTAATATACTTTCAAATTGTGAAGTAATATCATTTCCTTTTCATTTAAGGAGCAGTTTGAATAGAAGCAAATGAATCATTTCTACTTCATGGAGCTCTTTTGGGCATTAAATGAGATAATGTATGTAAAGGGCTTTCTAACTGTAAAGTACAATAGAAATAATTTTGTTGTTGTTACTTAGAAAAACACCTCATTCCTTGGGTGAGGATAGATAAACAAAATTGTCAACCTTCTAAAGAGTGAATAGAATTATCCCAATTTAAGAGTACAATTGGTGGAAGTTATAGGTCTTGTTACAAGTCAATTTAAGTGACAGGCTCAGTGCTCAGGAAATACATAATACTGGTAAAAAAAGTAATATTACACTGAAAACATTTTCAATTAATCAGTGACAAATTCTGATTTTTTGCATACATACGTTACTTTTGGTTTCATCTATTTCCTTCTGTAGTTGTTTTTTCTTATCTTCTAAATCACTTCGATAAAGTGATGTAACCTCTAGTGAGGCTTCTGTCATAGACTGTTTTTTTAGGGAATCAGCAAGTTCTTGTTGAAGTTTTCTTACTGTACCCTAATAGAAATATGCCCAAATTATTTCTATTACTGAGTTCATAAATCAATATTAGCTTATATAAAATAAACATACTTTGAAAATTAATTGACATAAATATTTTCACATGCAACTTAATTTCATGACATATTCACAGATATCATGGATTTACAACTAGACAAAGTCTTAGGGACTATTTAATTCAACCAACTCATTTTGCAGATGAGGAAACTAAGCCCCAAGGAGTTACTCAAGGTCATAAAGTAATTATGTAAATAGTAATAAAGTAAATTAGTAATTAATACAGACATAAATTAGTAACAGAGAAAAGAATTGGAATTTAGCTTCTGAGACTACAAAGCTATTTTGACTATACCACTCACCCTCTATTCAACATGAATCAAATGCTATCTATTTGCTTAGTATTCTCCTCATAAAGCAATACATTCAGCCTGATTTCCCTATTCCATCTTTTTGAGAATTATAATATCTCCAAAGCCACATAGGGGATAAAATATTTTATGTGCAATTGACATGGACGGTGGCAGAATGGGAGGGAAGAATATATAGCTTCCCATACTTGATAGAAACATTAGGGGTTTTTCCCTTCCAAAATTCAGAAAAGTTAACCACCTTATTTCTTTGCACTAGCCCTTATAAGAATGAGGACATCTATGAAAAAAAGTTGCATTTTCCTTCCTCTCACAGTTCCCCTGATGAACATATGCACTGATGTGCTTGTCAGGCTTGGTAAAAGCACTTGAAGTGACTGATTTGATGTGCTGAAAGCAAAAAAAAAAAGATTGGGGTGGGGGGGCTTACTAGCTACTGTATGCATCTTCAACTGTCCTTACCAAGTCTTCAAAGCAGTTCCTTTTTCTATTAGGATAGGAATTACATTCCTGTTTGCATTCAAGGGATAGAAAAAGGGGAAACTGTAAAAAATATGGTACTTCTCCTACTTATGTATACACAGTACGGTGCAAGGTCACAGCTAAAGGGTAGTCATTTCATCTCATTTCATTCTCTAACCTAGCAGGAATACCTACATACCTACCTACCTACCTACCTACCTACCTACATATACATACATGTATATGTACATATACACATACAAATACACACTTGTATATGTATATACATACATGCTATAAAAATCCTATTCATTTTCACCGTGCAGCAAAGAAAATTATTGCACATATTACTAATAGCAAATGAAATAACATATTACTGAGAAACAAAAAGAAATTAAAGATTTTCTAACTTATTAGATAAAATTAAGTATCTTGTAAAAATAAAGTCTAGTAAACTTTTTAAAGAAAACATAAAGTTAAAAGAAGCCAATATAAAGTTGTGAAAGGGAAAATTGGCACAGTTAATTTAATTCTGACAAATAAAACTAAATTCTAGTATGAAATGACTAGATTCAAACACGTGATCATACACATTAAAACTAAAATCTAAACAATTTTTATATGAAATTGTTACCCAGTAAAATATTTAGAGCCCTGCCACCCATTGCATATATGAAAAATCAGATAAGAACTGCTATGAGACTGTAAAAAGCTATCTATCTTTAATAAATGAAAGGCAGTGATCCCCAGAAACTGTAATTTTGGACATTAAGCAAGAAGGGTTAGTAAAATAGTGAAAAAATAATAAGATAAAAATATGTAGTGGGGAAGCAAAAACACATTTTATTAAAATGGCACTACTATAGCACAAAAAATTAATATTTAATACACAACCGTAATCTCTTTAAGCAGAATTACTGTCCTAAATTTTGAAGGAAAATAGTTGCTAGTCTTTGGAATTTCATTAAAAATATGATCCAGTGTTTAATGTTTCTAAAATTAGTTCCAAGTAGTTTGAATTAAAACTAGTCAGATTGATAAAGATGTTTAAATGGTTTTTGGAAGGGTAACTATAATATCCCATCTCAATTCAAATGTCACATTTGAACTGTTACATTTTTCCTAGCATAATTTTTCAGGATTTATCTTAAGTTTTAGCATTTCAACTAATTTATTCTATTGATGTATTAAAATGGATTAGGAATGTGATTAGAACTATAAATTTATCAGTATTTATTTACAAGTGATTAACTCTATGTACATTTATTAAACCAAAACTTTGCCTTTAAAATTTCATGGGTTACATAATATGTTTAAGCAAAGTGAGTCAATTTATCTAAAAGATGGATATCAGGTTGATTTTTATCATGTTATTGCTTCCTCATTCTCCTTTCTTACACATCAGAATTTTTACAATGAAATTCAATAACATCATCTACCTGCTAAAAATTCAAATTCCTAATTTGCCTTGATCAAAATTATTTTCAATTTCATTTCAAAAAGTTAAATGTTTATCAAACGATAATATTTAAAGACCTACCTCTCTTTCTGCTTTCTCATTTGCACATTTATACATTTGCTCTCTTAAGTGGTTACATTCACTGATTAACTCTTTATTTCTCTCTTCTATCATAAGTACTTGTTTTTCGGTATCAGTACGAAGTTTATTGAAGAGATCAACAAATTGTACCTGGGCATCACTCAATAGCTTTTCTTTAAGGATGCCTTTGTTTTGAGCATCTTCAAGCTGTTGTCGAAGCAACATATTTTCACTCTGGATTTGGGCTAATCTTTCTTGGATAGATTCTTGTTTGACGATGTATTTGTTCAGTTTTTCTGTTTCCATTTGATTTGTCTGTTCCAGTTCCTTTGCTTTATGTTGGGCCTGGTTTAATTCTCTCTGTGTGCTTTCTAAAATTAGTGTCTTTTCTCTGAGGGAATCACGTACATGGTATAGCTCATTTTCTAAACTATTGGCTTTACTTTCAGCTTTAGAGAGCTCTTGAGAAAGGATACCATTGTTCTCTCTTAGACTAGACAAGTCATAATTTAGTTTGTCCTGTAAACGAAGCCACTCATCTCGTTCTCGCTGAAAGCTATGTTCAAGATCTAATTTTGATGTCTGACTTCGCTCATGATCACGAACAGCAGAAGTCAGACGGGAGCGGTACGATTCAATTTCTGTCTCTAGTCTGTCTCTGTTTTGTTTTTCATTCTCCCACTTAGAGTTCAGCATTGCATTCTCAGTTGTCAGAACATTTACTTGTCCACTGTACTGGAATATTGTTTTTGTTAATGCTTCTTCATTCAGTCTTAATTCCTTTTGAAGCTCATCAACCTTTTCTTTCAAAACTTCATTTTCTTCTGCATATTGACTTTCTTTTTCTTGATCCTTAATTTTTACTGTGTTTAGTTCCAATTTGAGCATGGTAACTTCATCCTGTAGGGTTTGATTTTTATGCAGGAGATATTTTTCTTTTTCATGACTATCAGGACCCTAAACACAATAAACAGAAAAAAAAATTGCTACTAAAAATAAAACTATGCATTCTGATTTTTCCTTAGTAATTAAAAATAAGCCTAAAGAATTAGTATATTCAAAGAAAAAGTAAAATGAGGGAGTTTCACCTATTTCACCTTTCTGTCAAACTCAGTTTTCTGAAAGAACATTTCTTAAAAGTGCTACATCAATCAGAAGATATGTACTTGGGATAGTCAGTCTTCAAAACAGATGGGCATTTCATTATATGATATAGAGTACATTTTACAAACCCTGTATTTTTAGGCCACAAAATCTGTCTGCCTTTCAGCATATTTTATTTCCTTTGGTTATCCATTTTATCCCACACTGGCTATTCATAGTGTTATGATGAAAATAACAATACCTAATATTTATAGAGGCCTTTTAAAGTATTTTGATACATTATTTCACATAAACCTTGTAATACCCTTATGAGGGAAATACTCATATTACTGTCCCCATTTTAAAGATGAGGACTTAGGTTAGGAAAAGTTATTAAATAACCTGCTCACATCACACCTAATACGTGTTAGAAGCAGTATCTGAATCCAGGTCTCTTCAGACTCCAAATCTAGCACTCTTTTCCAATAGCTAATTTCCTCTTAGGCTGAACATACACAGTTGTCCTGCAGTTAAAGTCACTGTCCTGGTAAAACTATCTCAGCTATAGACCAATGAAGTGATAACAGTCTTAGAATTTCTTAGCATACATTTTGAGAACAATCCGTTCTCTGATAGATCTGTAGCATTTTCAGAGCATCGATTTAGAATTTTTAGAGGTTATCTAGTCCAAACCTCTCATTTTAGGGACAGGAAAAGAGAGGCCCAGAATGTGGTCAAAAGATGACAACCTAACCCTAACAATCAAATTTTAAAGGAATAATGAAAGCGTTATTGATGCCAAAGCATAAAAAAGTTGATTTGACACTCCCATCATAGTAAAACTGGTCCAGGAGCATTTGGCCCCATTAAGGACTGGTGGAAACAGCTATATCAAAAAGCCCAGGAGCCCCATTCTAGGAGATCCCTTCTATAAGGCCAGGAGAAAGGTATCAACAGGCAGCAGCTGAGTTAAATGAAGCGCTCCAGTGCCCAGGCAACAAAGGATTACTACGGGCTAACAACCTGAATGATTTACTTCAAACCACTGTTGAAAAAAACAAAGAAAATCAATAACCCTAAACTTGGCATTTGATGAACTTTTGTTTCTTTCTAGCTGAGCAGTGATCAATGTGAACGAATGAGTCCTTGTAATGTAGAGCCTTATTTTAGAAATCTAAGTGAAATTTATTCTTGTTGCAATACTTTTTTCCTTCCCTTTTATGAAACATGAGACAACAATGTGAAACAGACCAAACTATTCTGATACGTTTTGTAAAAGGGCCAACAGATGAAATCACTTAATTAAGGAAGAAAAGTGGTTTGTGTTTGGTGCCACTTTCTACCTGGTTGCATTCCTTTCTCCCCTTAGGGGTTAGTGAAACTGATGAGCTGCCTTCTCCCTATGTCCAGAAAGGGCAGAGGTTCTACTGAGAGGCAGGGATTTGTTCCAGTAGAAGTACACTTGTGTCTCCGGAGGGATCATTCGATTCAAAGAAAAGAAGCAACAAAGTAAAACAACCTGTGCTGATTTTAGTCACTATGTGTGTCACTGCTTGTCTGCTGCAGACAGATGGACATGACTGCAGATGACAAATATGTCCAAAAATGAAGAACAAAAATCCCGACTTTTTAAATATGCAATTAGATTTGAAAAAGACCAAAGTGAATACCTCAGAACTCTGAATCATTTTGGAAGCAGCTGCTTCTATTTCTTTCTGCTTCCAAAGAGGATTATTCAGAATTCTGTCCTGCAAAGCTCTGGCACTTTGCTCCTGAGAAAGTTGTCTTTGAGTGTCATTTCGCTCTTCTTCAACCTGAGGAAAACAATTTCATAAAATTTTTAATAATAATTTTCCTTCAAAAGTCAGCAAAAGCATTTTCCCTTTAACTGGAATACAGAATCTGAAAAAGAATGGAAAATATTTGAAAAAAAATTTAAGAAAAGTAGGCCAATGAAAATTAAAAGCAACAAGAAGGACAGCATTTCAGAGTTGTAAAGGAACCTCAACAACTATTCAGGCCAATCTATACCCATTATTATGTACCTGACTCTTACTAGACTTTACTTAGCCTTGGCTTGGAAGTCTTCCCATGGAGGGGTAGGAGATGGGGCCACCATTTCTCAAAGCAACTCATTCATTTATGGATGGTTCTATATGGCAGCAATTTTTTCCTAACATTAACCCTAAAAATGTAACCCTAAAATTTTTGCAACTTCTATCCTTTGCTCTTAGGGTGAAGCAGAGCCAAGTTTAATCCTTCTTCCACATGACTATCCTTCAAAAACCTGAAGACAGTTATCATGGTCCTCGAGTTTCCTTTTCTCAGGGATAAACATTTCCAGTTCCTTTAACTAATCCTCACACGTCACAGACTCGAGGCCCTTCCTCATCCCGTTTGCCGACCTGCTTACCAGCTACCAGAATTCTGTGCTAGCCACAAATGAACAAAATACTACAGGTGAGGTCTGATAAGGTCAGAATACAGACATATTTTTACCTCCTCTGTTTTGGAAGCTATGCTTCTCTTAATGGGATCCAAAATTAGCTTTGTGGTTGCCAAATAACAGCACTGACTCAAATTAAACTTAGAGTTCACTAAGACTCCTACATGTTTTCCAACAAAATGCTATCTAATCATATTTGCCCCAACATATAATTGTGAAACTAATTTTCTGTACCTATTATAAAACTTTACATTCATTCTTACTGAATTTCATCTTATTAGTGGGTTCAGTTCAGTACTCTGATCTATTAAGACTTTGTCTTCCATTTAGAAAGGCTTAATTTTTTTTTTTGGCAAGGCAATTGGGGTTACGTTACCTGCAAAAGGTCACACAGCTAGTGTCAAGTGTCTGTGGGCAAATTCGAACTCAGGTCCTCCTGACTTCAGGCCTGTGCTCTATCCAATATGCCACCTAGCTGCTCCTTTTGGCTTGGATAATTTTAATTGCATAAGTAAGAGCTAAAGATGCTAGAGAACAATAAACTTTTCTGGAAGACTGAAGGATGTTGGTAAATTGGAATATAAGGAACAGAGAAAGGGACTGAACCTGAAATTTCATTGACCTAGAGACTTTTCAGGTAAGGAAACTCCCTTTACCAAGGTAAAGCAGTTCTCTGGAACTTATAGTCTTAGAGTTACCTAGAGTAGTGATATCAAATAGATCCCCCCAGTACTGTGTTTTATGGGTAGCTTTTGGGGAGTTGGACACTTCTGGCCAGGGGTCAGGTGAAATGACTTGCCCAGGTTCACACAGTCAAGATCTGTCAGTGACAACACTTGAACCCAGGTCTTCGTGGATTTGAGGCCAGTTCTATCCACTACACTAGGAGAGGGGAACCTGTGTCCTTGTGGTCATGTGTGGCCTCCTAGGTCCATGGGTGTGGCCTTTTGACTGAATCCAAGTTTTACAGAACAAATCCTTTTATTAATGGAATTTATACTGTGAAATTTGGATTCGGTCAAAGGGCTGCACTTGAGGATGTAGAGGGCCACATGGCCTAGACGCCACAGGTTCTCTAACTCAGCACTACTCCATACTCATTCTCTACTGTGAGACATACTGTAAAAAGTATTAGCTCCATCTTACCTTTCCATGGCTATTTAGGCTGTAATTTTACATTCAAATGCTAAAATAAGGGAATATTTTTCTTGATTTTTCTTTATATCTTTATGAATACATATTTATGAATGATTGAACCCAACTTATTTATATTAGACATAAATACCATAGGCCTTTTTTTAGGATTAAAAAGACTTTATAGTATTCACCTCCCCACTCCCAGGGAACCCACAAAGATTTTTAACAAAGAAAAGATGGAAATATTGATTTTTAAATTCCAATTTACCTGTTTCAAATTATTTCTCACTCTTTTCAGTTCAAGGTCCAGAGTTTTAAGAGAGAATTCAAGTTGCTGTTTTAGCTCCACTTCTTTACTATACTGTTCTTCTTTTCTTCTTAACTGTTCTCTAATTTTTTCAAATAGCATTTCTGCAGTCATTCGCTTTTCTTCTTCTTGCTTCAGTGTAAACCTAGATGAAAACTGCTCTTTTTTAAAACCACAATTCAGTAGAAATAAGGAATGCTCTTTAAGGATATTAATCTGTACCTCTATAGGAAAAGAACATTAATTTGGGGAGAACTGGATCCATGTGGGGAACTCACCATCAGGAAACTCCCAATACTAATGTAGATGGGTCCCTGCTCTGCAATTTGGAGTCTTAGATAATTGCCTGGGGCACTGAGGATTTATGTAACTTGCTCAGGCTCACACAGTCAGGATATGTCAGAAATGAGACACGATCTCATTTCTCTATCCAGGCTACTCCAGGGCATTAAACTTCTATCAAAAATGTATCACATAGCTCTTTGGGTGCTTTGGCTTCTTATATTCAATGGAGAGGAGCTAGAGGAAATGACTTTTTAAAAATTCCTGAGTTTTGATACATATGAATGATTCTGGTAAAAAGTTTAGAGGATGATGTAGATAAAATTCCTGACTTAAATCAGGTGTGGGAATGATTTCTACATTTCCCTCATCCATTTTACCATTACTATTAATTATTCAGAGTTTAATTTTTACTTTATTTAAAAAAAACTCAAGTAATTGTACTATAGTTTTGAAAATCCACAAAAAATGCATCTCTCATAGATGGCCACACAGTAAAAATGATTAAGTAGGGCTCATTTCATTACTATTTTAAAAATGTGTCATTTTTGCCTTCCTAACCTCAAATCCTCTCTCACAATGCTTTAACATAAGAGAAATGCTTTCAAGTCTTTATTGAAACTCATGAGTTAGATACCTGAGGCTACAGAGTTCTCTGTCCCATTCTGCTTTTTGATGCTGTAACTGGGATTTCATTTCTCTTGTTTCTGATAATTCTTCCTGTAGTTCAGTAATCTTGTTTTCTAAATTCTTAACTTTTCCAGCGAGTAGTGTACAATGCCCTTTTTTAAGTTCTACTGATCTTTCATATCTAAGAATTGCATCCTGAATTTTCAAAAGGCTAATAGGATCTGTACAGACAAAAACACAAGTAAATAAAAATATAAGTATTTTAAAATCTGCAGAACAGTAGCAGTATACTTAGAATTCTGATACTCTGGCAATGACAAATTAGTATCCACATATAAATCCTAAGAATATACCAAAATATTATTTCGTCAAAAGATTTACATTGAATTTGAAAATAATCTATTTCTGTCTGGACATTGTGGACAATTAAAAAGAATCTATAAGTTACTCATTACTTTATAAAAAAACCATTTGAAACCTCAGAATTCTTCATAATATGAGAAAAATATATGTGAAAAGTAAACATTCTGATGTGTACTCTGGTTGGGACAAATAAGATTAATAAAATGAACTATATATTTATATCTATATATTGCAAATATAATGAATTATTTTATACGTATTATAAATACATTTTACCCTAGTTATATGTAAACACTGCTTCTTCTTTAGCAACTTACAATATAAATCTGTATGTAACATTCATATAATAACATCCATCCTCATTTATTCATTGGCCAGACTTCTGGTAACATTAACCAAAATATAGCTGAGACACCAGAAGAGACTAAAAAAATCTTCTGAGCATTAAGGAAAAAAGCTGCCATAAAACCCAGGCACTTTATTCTGCAGAGAGATACATAGCCAAATTTAGACCTAATCCAGAGTCAGAAATGTGTGTTATATCAAGTTACAGATTCAAGAGACATGGTTGTTGGGTTTCCCTTGGTAACTTTCAATTCTTCGTACATTTCAGTGTTCAGTGAAGCAGCAAGGAGGGAACAGGACTGCTAGAGGTAGACACACTGATTGTAGTGGGCGGTGAAGCTGACAGTAAGGGAAATCATAAGCTCAAAAACTCAGAACAAAAGAAGAAACTGGGGCACGGAGAAGTTAATGGACTTGTTGAGATTCACACAGTTGGAAGGTGTATAAGGCAGAATCTGAACCTAGGTCTTCATGGCATCATGTCCAGTACACTATCCTATATGCCCTACTGACAGAAGAGTTATAAAAACTAAGCAGAATGTTTGTCAGATTGTTGACATTTTTGGCCATTTAGTGAAAGATTTTAATATTTTGGCCATTCTTTCCATGAAAGAGATCACTGCCTGATATTTTTATGCATCTAGTCATATTAGTCTCTTCAATGGTCCTCTATTGTCAACCAAGCAAAAAATTCATATGCCTTGTCCTAGCATTCAATATTAATAACTCACATGTAGTAATATAGCACATATAGGCTCACAAAAATCCTGTGAAGTAAGATATGTTATAGATGAAGAAAGTGAAGCTCCAAAATGCTCAGTTCTTCCCCCTATACTCCCATGATCTACATCTACTGAATTCATACCCATCCTTTAAAACTCAATTCAAATGCTACCTTCACAAAGAGGTTATTTTTGATTTCTTGATAGTTAATGTTCTTTCCCACTTTGAATCTCACATAGCAATACGAAGGTATTCCTCAAGTATTTATGTATTTTTTAATATTAGAGTTATTTGTTTAGGCTATATCCCCCTACTACGTTGCACACTCAATGAGGTCAATGACTGTGTCTTATCGAAACTTTGTGTATATGGCACACAGTAGGTACTTAATAATTCTTTTTGAATTGAAACAAATAGAAGGTCATCTTCTATGGCTGAAAAATTCATCACCCTGAAGCCAACATAATCCCTTTCACTTTGGCAAGGCCTGTCAGAGATTAGGCTCTGGTATCAGAGCCTCCAAGGACCCAAAGTCAAATCTATTTTACTATGAGTCAATGAAATAGGACTTCAATGGTATCTTCTTGTATACACCCACATCTTTGGTTTTTGTTTAACACTGGTATTCTGTTAGGAAATTTTAAAATATCCTTACCTTTACAATCAACACTAAGTTGCTCAATCAACAACAAAACATTCTTACAGTTTAAGGGAGGTAAATTATAATCCTCTGTAGCTGTGTCAGATGACTGAGTGAGGTCATCAAGATCATCTGCATCCCTCTGCACTTTGTCCTGTAAAATACGTAATAGTATTGTAAAACAATAAAAACTTAAAAATAATAACAATAGCTAACATTTGTGTAGCACTGTAAGGTTTTTGCAACACTTTATATACATTATGTCACGGCATCTTCGCCACCATTTTGTAAGATAAGCTTTACTTCTAATTCTTTTAGAAATGAAGAATCAGACTGGGGGGGGTGGAGCCAAGATGGCAGAGTAAAAGCAATGACTTGCTTGAGCTCTCCCCCAAACCCCTCTAAATACCTGTAAAAAATGGCTCTAAACAAATTATATAGCAGCAGAACCCACAAAAAGACAGAGTGAAACAAATTTCCAGCCCAAGACAACATTGATGGTTGGTTAGAAAGGTCTATAGTGCAGGGCTGGAAGAGAAATGCAGTTCAGCGTGGGCATGCAGACAAAAACCAGGCCTCAGAGAACCTGGAGCAAGCCTCAGAGGACTGAATCACAGGCAGCTGTGGTGGTTTCCAGACTTCTCAACCCACAAATGCCAAAGGAAAGGAGTAAACACCTCGCCCTTGACCATACTTCCTTGGAAGAATTGAAAAGCTACAGGTCCCTAGAACTATCTCTGAAAACTGCTGCACAGAAACTCCAAAGCTTGGGATAGTATATTCTCCACACTGGAAGCAGATGCCTACTTTAACAAAGAGTTTAAAACTCAAGTAATTGGCTGAGATCATGAGCAAACTGAGCAAAAAAAAGTCAGACCATAGAATCTTTCTTTGGTAACAAAGAAGATCAACACAAACAACCAGAAGCAGACAACAAAGTCAAAGCTCCTACATCCAAAGCCTCCAAGAAAAATATGAATCAGTCTCAGGCCATGGAAGAGTTCAAAAAAGATTTTGAGAAGCAAGTAAGAGAAGCAGAGAAAAAACTGTGAAGAGAAATGAGAGTGATGCAAGGAAATCACGAAAAACTAGTCAACACCACTTGCTAAAGGAGCCTCCAAAAAACACTGAAGAAAATAACACCTTGAAAAATAGCTGAACCCAAATGGCAAAAGACGTCCAAAAAGCCAAAAAGCTGAATTGGCCAAATGGAAAAGTAAGTCCAAAAGCTCACTGAAGGAAATACTTCCTTAAAAATTAGAATGGAGCAACTGGAAGCTAGTAACTTTATGAGAAATCAAGACATTGTAAAACGAAAACAAAAGAATGAAAAAATAGAAGACAATGTGAAACATCTCAATGGAAAAGCAACTGACCTGGAAAACAGATCCAGGAGAGATAATTTAAAAATTGTTGGACTACCTGAAAGCCATGATCAAAATAAGAAGCCTAGACATCATCTTTCAAGAAATTATAAAGGAAACCTGCCCTGGTATTTTAGAATCAGAGGGCAAAATAGAAATGGAAAGAATCCACCAATCACCTCCTGAAAGAGATCCCCAAAGGAAAACTCCTAGGAATATTGTAGCCAAATTCCAAAGTTCCCAGGTCAAGGAGAAAATATTGCAAGCAGCCAGAAATAAACAATTCAAGTATTGTGGAAACACAATCAGGATAACACAGGATTGGGGCAGCTAGGTGGTACAATGGATAGAGCACTGGCCCTGGAGTCAGGAGGACCTCAGTTCAAATCCAGTCTCAGACCAGACACTTGACACTTACTAGCTGAGTGACCCTGGGCAAGTCACTTAACCCCAATTGACTCACCCCCTTTCTGCCCCCCAAAAAAAGGATAACACAGGATTTAGCAGCTTCTATATCATGGGACCAGAGGGCATGGAATATGATATTCTGGAAGGCAAAGGAGACAGGATTACAGCCAAGAATTACCTACCCAGGAAAACTGACTATAATCCTTCAGGGGAAAAAATGGAAATTCAGTGAAACAGAGTACTTTCAAGCATTCTTGATGAAAAGACTAGAGCTATAGAAAATTCGACTTTCAAATACAAGACTCAAGAGAAGCATCAGAAGGTAAACTGTAAAGAGGAATAATAACGGACTTATTAAATGCTGAACTGTTTACATTCCTACATGGAAAGACGATATTTGTAACTCATGAGACCTTTGTCAGTATTAGGGTACTTGGAGGGGAAAAAAAAAGAAAAAAAATTATATGGATGGATAGATAGATAGACAGACAGATAGACAGAATGCACAGGATGAGTTGAACATGAATGGGTGATATCTGGAGAATAAAATTAAGGAGTGAGATAGGATTATACTGGGAGAAGGACAAAGGGAGTGGTAGAATGGGTAAATTATTTCACATAAAACAGATAAGAAAAGGCTTTTACAGTGGAGGGGAAGTGGGGGAAGGTGAGAGGGAAAGAATGAATCTTATTCTCATTGGATTTGGCTTAAGGAGAGAATAACATACACACACAATTGGGTATGGAAAGCTATCTTACCCTACAGGAAAATAGGGGGGAAGAGGATAAGAGATCAGGGGGATAACAGAGGGGAGGAGGGCAGATTGGGGGAGAGGATAATCAGAGACAAATACTTCTGAGGAGGGCCAGGGTCAAAAGAAAGAATAAAATAAACGGGGGGTGGGATAGGATGAAAGGAAATATAGTTATTTTCCACAGCATGACTACTATGGAAGTGTTTTGCAAGACTACACATGTATAACCTGTATCAAGTTGCTTGCCTTCTCAATGAGGGTGGGTAAGAAGGGAGGAAGGGATAAAATTGGGAACCCAAAGTTTTAAAAACAAATGTTAAAAACTGTTTTCCCATCTTATTTAACTGGGAAATAAGATATACAGGCAAAAGGTTATAGAAATCTATCCTGCCCTACAGGAAAATAGAAGGGGAAGGGGATAAGATAAGGGGGGGAGATAGAAGAGAAGGGAGATTAGGGGACAGGGTATTCAGAATGCATGCTCTCTTGGGGTTGGGGGAGGGACAAGATAGGGAGAAAATCTGGAGCTCAAAATCTTGTGGAAGTGAAGGTTGAAAACTAAAAATAAACAAATTAATGGACAAAAAAAACCCACAAAAAAAATTAGAAAAAAAAAAGAAATGCAGGAACACACTAAGAAAGGTTAGGTGATTTGATACAGCTAGCTAGGAGCCCAAGGATAGATTCACACTCAGGTCTTCTTGACTTATCAATTATGGCACTTAACTACCTAGGAGCTGAATTATTTAGGAATCTTATGAAAATCATCATAAATAGTCACAGTATCTCTTACAGATGATAAATAGTCTTCATTTTATTTATGAGGGAAATGAGGGAAAATCCAGAAACATAATTCATTTTCTAGCTTTCACAATGGACACATTTCACTAGGAAACTATTTCTAAAAGCATCCATTTTCAGATTAAAGACTCCTATACTTTATAATGCAAAAAAGGGGTCCTATCTGTCCACTGAAACATTCATTATTTTCTAAACGAATTAATATTTCTGGCATTTTTACAGTACCTTATTCTTTTCATTCAATGTTTTCTTTGCAGGCCTAAAAGACAAATAATTATTTTTAGTGTGAATATAAATAGGCAAAATAAAAATAAAGTTTGTTATCATTATAACTGTTTGATTTAATACATGCGTATTCGAAAATCACATGCTTTTTCTACAAGCTAATCACATAAGATAAAGAATATTTAAAAGTATTTAATCTTGTAGCCCTGATTTATAACATATGCTTTATCTTTGCCTCTTGAAAATTTTTTAAAACAAACAAAAAAATAAGTAATATCAGAATTTCTTCCCATAAATAAAAAGCTTGAGAGACCACTTTCAAAATCAATGTCAGCCAAAATTTCTTATTTGTGATACAAAAACAATGATTTATTTTTTCAATTGTTCACATGCCAAAGTCTCTGTTATTAAGATTCCAAAATAACAAAAATTTGGGCAGAATACTATAATAATAATTGGTATGAACTGAGACATCAACAAATATTAAATCATGTCCATTTTCTTTGACTGTATTCTAAATTTTAGAAAATATTATATATATGGTAACCAACATAATCATAATTTTTAAATTCAAGTTATATGTAAATGTGTTCTATTTACTATATTGCAAGCTCTAAGAGGTCAAAGACTGTCTTATTCACTTTTCTATCTTTCCCAGGGCCTGACATATGGCTCTTCACACTGTACATGAGTAATGCTTTTTAAACAAGTTTACCAACACATTGGATAAACCTCTTGTAGAAGGAATATGAGAAGACATGGACATTGCTCTGACAGGATAATGAGCCACAATTTTCCTCACTAGAGAATTTGTTCATGCTGATGAGACCATACATGAATCCTCTGCAGTCCTGAAGTATCAAACTTCAATATGATTAAATAGTATAACAAAATTCAGAGACAGAAATCCTATGAAAGAATGATTTACTCTTTCTAGGTATTTAAAAAATAACAAGATATACCAACATCAGTGACCCAATCAGAGAATATCCTATAAATTAGAAGTAGAAAAAGCAGTTAGAAGTAAATAAATTCTGAGTCTAGGAGAAGAAAATGGGGTCTATCCCTTCCCAGGGGCTCAATCAACTCCTACACTCACATAATCCTAAGTTAAACACAATATACTGTGTACCCAGCAGTATCCCCATATTTAGCCCTATATCTATTGCTAAGTAGTTCCATAAGTATGATCTATTTCAGTGAAGACTATTGTAATAATAGCAATCATTAGCAGAGTACTCTGCACACAAGGAAAACATAACATATTTATTGAATGTTTAATTATAGTTCACATTTCTATAGCACTTTACAAAGAACTTTCCTTTTTCCTTACAGCAATACTATTGATAATGCAAGTATTATTATTCCCATTTTACAAATGTGTGATATGTTCTAGGTCCCACTGCTAATGTTGGCAACTTGGTACAGTAGAAAGTGGATGGAATCTGGAGTCAGAAAACCTAGGTTCAAACCCTGGTTCTGCCTCTTTTTACTTGTGTGATCACAGGCAAACCACTAAGCTTCTCTGAGTCCACTTTCCTCATCTCTAAAATAAAGAAGCTGGACTAGACGATCCCTAAAGTGCCTTCCAGTTTTAAATCTATGCTATGACAGTAATAGAGTGAAAACCTGAACTCCAATCCTCCGGTGCCAAGTTTGGTATTCCCTCCGCTAGTGCTTAGGCATGGTGAAAACCACATTCCTATTGACTAATGTCTATCCTGCTGTGTTCTGTCACCACAATGACCAAAATGGAGTGCATTGTCACTGGGACTGCTTTGCTACGCTGAAGAAAACAAGAATTTCAACTGTCAAACAGTGGGAAGTAGTGTGGTATGTATGTCAAAGAGAATCTGGGCCTCTTAGGTGTACCATAAGTGCATTTGGAATACAGTTTGGAATACAGTTGCCTGCAGTGAAAGTGCTCATGTGCATATATCTCAATACTGTCAGAACAAAGAATAAAAGGGCATCAATCTTCTACAATGGCCAAAAGCACACATTGCTAATAATTTTCCATGAGGAAATACAATAGCATTTTACCTTTCTTTATCATGATCTGCTTCACTTAAAATACTGTCTTCAGGAACATGGAGTAGGATATCAGTTAAGGAATTCACCTTTTCACAAGATGAATTAATACCAGGATCCTCTGAAATCCATTTATCATTTTGAGGCTTTTTTACTTCTTTCATATGCATGACTGAATCATTGCTGAAAAAAAAATCCATGGAAGGATGCTTAAATTGTTCTTTATTGAAAACTGATAAGAAAACAATGGGAAAAATTTTAAAAAGAAAACAAAGGGGAAAATTATTTTTCCTTCTCTTTTAACACATACTACATATTGCTTCGAGATTAACCTTCCTTAGGTAAGCCCTTGAGCATATCATTCCCCAGATGATCAACTTTTAATTGCTGCCCTCTTTTGGAGTGCATCAATTCTGAACTGCCTGCCTGTGAAGTTCCTTTATATTCAGGCCTACCTTATTAATCCAACAGAGGTTCTCAACACTGCTTCTCAGAATACAAGGTCCATTCTAGTCAGATTTGTGTTTTCTCTAGTCTAGGAATATGTTCTGCTCCAAACCTTCATAGAATAAGTTTTCTTCACCTAAAGTGCTCCCCCATTTCCAGGCTATTCTTGGGCTAAAAGATAACAACTGTAAAAAACTGGATAGTTGTGAGTAGACAATCTGTGTGCAAAATATTTAGGAGTCTGATAGAAGGTAGGCTTGATATGAGCCAAAAATGCCAGGAAAAAGTACAAAAAGTTAATATGACTGTAGGTTGAATTCCAAGGGGCATAGAATGCAGAAGAAGGGAGGTGATAGTTTCCTTATACTATGCCCTGATCAGAATATATTTGAGGGACTGTGCTCATTTTGGGGAGATATATTTTAGGAAAGACATTGAAAACTCTGAATATGTTCAGAGAAGAGAAACCAGGATGGAGAAGGATGAAGAACATGTCAAATAAGGAGCAGCTGAAGACACTGCAGATGTTTATCCTAGAGAAGAGAAGATGAAGAGTTGGGAGGATAGGGAACGGTATATGTATTCAAATATATGAAAGGCTATCACGTTTAATTGACCTCCTAAAGGGTAGCACTAGGGCAGAGAAGCACATTTAGGATCAGTACACCAAAAAAAAAACCCAACAACTTCCAAACAATTAGACTTATTTAAAGAGGAATGGACTGCCTTAACAGCACATTCCTCTGTGTGTATGTGTGCGTATACGTGCGCACAAGCAAACCAGTGAGCAACTGACATTCACACGTGGGAAAACTCTTCTTGATCCTAGCTTTAATGGACCTCACAAACTTGCCTGTTGCTCTGTTGACATAGCCTTTAGTGACCTTCACCTTCCAACTCTGATAAGGTATTAAAGAAGGACTTTAATGGGAAAAAACAAATAAACATCTGGCACATTTTATAATACTTTTTTATATCAATTTATTCCAACCCCTAATCTTACTCACAGATTTCACAGAATTTGATTAGAATGTTCTCTTGCAACTTATACTGCTTCCATTAAGTTCTAGTCAAAATTTTTCCAAAGAATAGTCATTCCTCTGGTGCTTTAGAATTATTTCTCTCTTCCACTGCTAAACATAAACCCCAATGAGTTTTTTTTACCCAATGGCAAGAAAGGTACTAAATACACCAAAATATTCATAGCAACACTTTTTTGTAGTAGCAAATAACTGGGAATAGAGTAGTTGCCCATTGTCTGGGGAATGGTTCAAGAAATTGTGGTCTGGTAATATAATGGAACATTACTGTGTGTGGTTAGAAATGAGGACTATATAGAAGCATGACAATATTTATATGAATTAATGCAAAATGAAGTAAGGACAACCAGGACAACAATATCAATCATAACTGCAATAATGTAAATATTAAGGCAAATAAAACAACTGGAATTGAATACTGTTGAAATTATAATGACCAACTTGGTCTAGATGAGAAGGCACCTCCTTTCCCTTTACACAGGGTGGAAAACTATCAGTGTGGAACGCTGCAAGTAATATTAATGTGGCGTTTGGTTGTGGTGAACTCTATTTTCCTTTTTTTAAATTTTTTGTTTTAAGGGATGTTTCTCTGGAAGGGTGAGGAGAGACATATTGGGAAATGAGGCTGATACAAAAAGAAAAGATGACAATTAAAACAAAAGTATACTTTCTATGCATCGCCCATGGCTCTACTGTCTCTTGAAAATAGGTTTAATATGGCCACTTTTCTCTAATCAAGGGAAAAGTAGGCAACTTTCTGTCTGCGTGACACTGAGGTCACAATGTAGAGGTACCAACACTGAGGCAAAGAAAGACGCCCTTTTCAATGCCTCTCACATATGTTATGCTTGTATAAATATTGTCTTCTTGAACTTATATAATTTTTGCTCTTGAAATTCATTATCCTACAATATGCTTAAATTAATTGTCATCAAGTTAATGAAAGTAAATTAGGGCTTGCTTCTCTACATTCTCTACTTTCTAAAGGTCAATCTAGAACATTTCCAGATTCAGACTCTTATAAGATGGAACTTTGGAGTCATCTAGTGCAATCCCAATTTGAAATGTGAATCCTGTTTACCACATTCCTGTCATGGTGTCATCTATCATCTTACGGTCCCATGATTTTTTTTTTTGGTGGGGCAGCAGGTAGCAGTTACCTGCTTTTTGTTCTTCCTCAGCCTGTCCAGAACCCACATGGGCAGTAGAGGGCCTTATGGAGCAAGTGCTACATGTGTGCTTCTCTCGACTTTTCTGCCAATTCCCCTTTTTTCTTCACCCATCCTGAAAGGACACTAAATCTTTCTCTCCTCAGCACCATCCTTAGAGGACAGAACCAGGATCCTTTTCAACATGGACCCTCCACTCTTCCCCTCTACCTACCCCACCACATGGCAGTGGGTTGTTAGATGGTTCTTCTTATGTTCTGCATATCTTCAAATAAAAGTGTTAGCTCCTTGAGAGTCTAGGTTGTCTGACTTTCTTATTTGTATCCTCAGTACTTGGAACACAATAAGCACTTAAATTCATTCTTTTTTTTTTAATAAGGAAAGCTCCATTTATTTTTTTTTCATGTAATAGTATTTTGTTTTTTCTAATTACACATATAACATTCACTTTTATAAGACTGAGTTCCCATTTTTTTCTCCCTCCCTCTCCTCATCTCCCCAAGATGGCAAGCAATCTGATATAGGCTATACATGTACAATCACATTAAACATATTTCCACGTTAGTCATGTTGTGAAAGAAGAAATTCATTCATTCTTGAACACTTCTAATGACGGGGAACTTTTTATCCACTAAGACAGGAGATCTCATTTTTTGATAGCCATAAGCATATTTTAATATCTCATTAGGACTTATTATTTATACATTTGAAAACTATCTTGATTTACTCCTTGCCACCCATATCTTATATTGTACATTATTCATCTGGATTTCATCAAAGGTTACCTACCCTCCTCCTTCTTTGATAGACGCTGATGTGACAGTCCCAGAATAAAAGAACATACTGAAAGCAAAAGAGAAATATATATGCCATGGGACTTGAATTGCCTTCTTGGAAAAGAATAAGCCTGAAGTTGATGCAGGGAATCTGATTCCAGATTGTTAGAGCTAATGGAACTTAACATTAGCTTTCATATTTGATAATAATACTCCTATTTAATATTTTGACAAACTTACCCCTTTAAAAGATAGTGTACAGGTGCTGAACTTTCCTTGGAAGAAGAAATGTTCATTATTGGACTCTCTGCCCCAGGGATTTTATTTTCCTCATCTTTACCATGCTGATTGCTCTCCACAGAAAACAGCTCATTAACTTTGCCAATTGTTCTAGTTTTAATTAAGTTATCACCATCTTTTTCTTCCAACGTTTCAGTTTCATTGTGTTGATGCTTTTTCTTTTCAACCTAAAAGGAAAGGTTAGGACTTAGTATAACTGTCACTTTATTAAAAAGAAAATGCTGTGCTTACTTAGGGACAAGTACTAGATCTGTGATTTAACTAGTCCACAGAGTTCTTAGAAGAGAAAATTTCCTCTACCAATGTTGCTCTTAACCTTCTCAAGAATTTATAGCTGTAGAGAGTTGTCTAAAATCCTGAGATGTTAAATGACTTGCCCATATTTGTCAGAGGCAGGACTTGAACTAGGTTTTCCTGGCCCACTATCCATTATGCCATGTTGCCTTTCATGTTCCCACTTTTATTTTGAAATATATACCTAAATATCTATATTACTCTCAATTATATTTTATTTTGGAAACAAAAAATGCCATAATTTTTTAATAAATTTTGTTTGAAAGAAGACAAATTGCTCAGCTTTCAAAATGATAACTCAATTCCTATCTCATTTTGTTTTCTCATCCTTTTTTCATGTTCTTCTCTCATTTCCCTCCTTTAACAAGCAGACAGAAGCAAACAGATATGACACACACATTCAGACTCATTTTCAGCCTTGACCCCACAACGAACAGATAGACTAAACTGAGGATTGAAGTAATTACCTTTCCTTTTTTCCCACCATACTATGAGTGTTTCCTATCCCATTTCTCATTTCTCATTCCTGATCGTTGAGTTCAGGGAGTAAAAAAAAACTGAAGGTAGTCACTGAAATATTGGATCAACATTCATCACAACATAGGAAATTGAGCAGAGTGCAATTTAGGCAGTGTGGCTGCCACATTCTGGGAAATCAGTGCTGTTCACTGTGCACATTCACAGAAGCATAATCTTTTTTAGATTTGGGAAAAAATCTTAGTCTAATGCTGTCATTTTAGAGATGAGGATCCTGAAGCACAGAAACATTAAGTAACTTGGTCAAAATCATAAACTAGTAAACAGAATCCAGTACACCGGGTAAAGGTCCCCACATCTGATTCAGAAGACATATTCAGAATGAAGCTACATTATTTAGTACTTAAAAAATATAGGAGAAGTAGCATTGAGCCTGTTATTAGAAGCTTTAGGCTGAAGTACCAACTTGGCCCATTTCCCGAAGTCATTTAAGCATTCTGAGCCTCAACTTCGTTGTCTGTAAATAGGAGTCGCACCTACTTTATAGGAATAGTAATGAAGATCAAATGAGATAATGTCTAAATGGTATTTTGTAATCTAAGTTATATAAAATGCCAATTACTATTACTTTGTGGACAGGACCTGTGATTTAAGGAAACTCCCTCCAGAAATGCAGATCAGCCCCTGCTTCTAGTCTCATGGCTGCCTGGGAAGGTAAACTGACTTACTCACAGTAACAAAGCTGGTATGTGTCAGAAGCAGGGCCTGAATCCAGGTCTAACTGAATGAGTTTAGCTCTTTATCCACTATCCTCTGCTATATCTTGAGTACTAATGTCAAAGCATAATTAAAAGGCAAATACGTGAATGTACAGATGAGCCAAGAGAACCTGGCCATGTGATTTAACCTCCCTGATCCTAAATTTTCCTTATCCATAAGATAATAGGGGGGAGTTTGACTGGATGACTGCCAATGATCCTCCAAAAAACTTCAATGATTAAATGAACTGTGCTAGTTTGATAGTATCTAAAGTCAGTCAATGTTCAAGTATATCAGAAGTCAGTGTTTTGCTATTATTTTTCTATCTTTTGCTGACATTTTATATTATCTCTATGTGCTGAAAATATTTGCTATATTGCTATAGATATTTATAGCAAATGAAAATATTTTAAAAACAGTTAAATTCAAGAAGAAGAGCATTGAACTTGTAGTCAGTCAGGTCTAGGTATAAGTCCCAACTCTGTCATTTATTAGTTGTGAGATAAATAGAGAAATATTGTATTAATGACTTTTTGAAAATTGATACTAATTAAATTAGCAAAAAATGTGTTTGATGTTGTTTTGATACAAAAAATTTCAAGTAATAATTTTGATAAAGTCAGTAAAGATGAACACAGCAGATCACAATAAAACTATTAGTCCAATCAGGTGGATTTGTTAGAAATTTCCTAATGCTGGCCTCTATTTTCAATATTTTAAGCCACAACATCTTAAACTTGGCTTAGAAAATAAATATGTCCACAGAAAGCAAAATTATTTCAAATGTAAAATATTAGAGGGACTTGTATAAAAGAGAACCTAAGTTTACTACATTTCTTTTAGGCCTATGCCCTAATTATCTTTAGGCTTATTCTTGTTCACATGCAAAATATTTTGGAATCTGATGGAGTAATTTAAATGACCAAAATAAGGGCTTTAATAAAGGCTTTCTGGATATTTCCCTTAATTCAACTTTAAATATACCTTTTATAAAGAGCAAGCATTTAAACACAGCATTTTCATCATGTAAAAAGTCAATTACACAGGATGATTGATGAAGGGGAAAAATAAATAGAATACAGAGTGGCAGGAGGTGAATGTACCTCTTTTTGTAGTTGTCTTTTTTCCTTCTCCAAAGCCAGGAACTCTACTTGCAATACCCCTAACTCATTTTTAAATCTTTGCACATCTTGCTTTAATTCTTTATCCAGGTGCATTTTTGATATTTTGTCACTATATGGAAGGGAGTGTCTCCACTGTCTTATCTCATTTGGAGAGATATTGGCATTGTGACCACTTTTCTGGAATAAGTTTTCTTTTAGTTTTGTTTTCTCATTAAATTTTGTTGCAGTAGTAAGTTTAGGCTTTTTTTCTTGGATGACTGATTTCATATCATCAGAGCGAGTACGCCGGACACCAAAATGGCTTCCTAGACCACTTGATTGTAGCAAACGTCCTGAATCTGGTTCCAAATTTATGGTATTTCTGTTCAGACTTCCTGCCAGTCGCATACCAAATCCTCCATCTTTCTTCATTTCATTTATAGCTATTTGTGAGTTGGCTATTTTTACATTTTCTCCATCATAAGCAACATCCTCTTCATTTAAATTGCAAGTACATTCAATTTCTGGCTTATTACCTTTCTTTTGGTATAGGTTGCTACTTTCTGAGCACAGATTAGAAGATGACTGAAGAACATCTTCTTGGAAAGTGAGCTTTAAATTCTTTAAAACAGCATTTTCCAGAGAGTATTCCCTTTGTTCAGGAAACGACTGAACTCCTACATCGAGCGGGCCTCTATATTTCTCCTTTTCCTCAGTATCATTTGAGTTATTTGTCAGATTACGGGATGCTTCCTGTAATGGTTCTGTTTTCTCTTCGAAGCCATCTAGTGGTTCCTCTTCCCATAGTTTTTCTGTAGACTGATCAGCAGTTTTGTCCTTTTCATAAATTTCTCCAAATATCTGCTTTAACTCAGTTGCTACAATTTTAAAATTCTTTTTGACTTCCATTTTCTCGTCTTCAACCCACATTTTTTCATACCTTTCTTCCCAGTTTGATTCTGCATCTAAATCCGATTCCTTATTGGGTTCTAGTCCTTGAGACATTTTTTTCAGGGAAAGTGGAAAACTAAGTGGCTTTACTTGTTTCTTAGGTGCTGTTTGCTCTGGTATGTTGGCTGTTTCTAAAGTAACTTTATTCTTGGGTAATGAAATATGGAAGAAAAAAAATTAAAGAATAAACAAACAATAGTTAAAATTAATCTTTTAAGCTTAAGATCTTATCCAGTCTCAAATCACTGTATTTGAAAGGAACGTTAAAAAATTATTTAAACTTTCCCTAAATGACAGAACAAATACAATTTCAAAGTAGGTTTTATCAGGGTGTTTGGAAATAGGGTAAATGTGTTATTATGCACAAGACATACTATGCTCCTAACAAAACACAAAGAAACAATTTCCCATTTCATATTTTTTTTTGTCTCATAGTACAATAGTTTTCAAAATCGGTTAAAAAGAGACAATAACTCTAAATAATTAAAATTATCTTAAACACATGTTCTGCCTGAAGAAAAAACCAAAGCAAATCAAGGATAAATTTGGGATACAACAGAAAACTTACCTCACTGTTCCTTTTAAGTAGTGAGATTCTTTACCACATTTATGTGTTTGCCTCCTGCTGACTCTTAAATTTCTTTAAACTGAAGGTCAATTATAGGTGTAAAAATAGCAACTCTAAATTATGGCATAAGTCTATGGGGAAACAGAATGTGCTTTAAAATGACTGTACTGTCATGAGGTACACCCGTACTGACTGTGAACTTCTGAGTCTGGTTCCAGTGAAAACCGCCTCTCTTGTTTATTTTACTAACGGGAGGGGAGGGGTTGGCAAGAGGAGGGAAATGATTTTTGTATGATTCAGAACAAGAAATAAAAATGATTACAGTATACAACTTAGATTCATCAACAGAATTTATGGGGATACGGCAGGAAGTGACTGCTTTAAAACAGCCAAGTAAGACGTGATTCCCTTACCCCACTACAGGTAAGAACCACAGATCCAGCTCTAAAGGCAAGATTCTCTTATAGTCCCGCAACAAGTTTACATGGGACAAGCCACAGTACTGATAAGTCTATACACAGACATTCCTGAATAAATTTAAATAAAAATGATTACAGTACACAACTTAGATTCATCAACAGAATTTATGGGATACGGCAGGAAGTGACTGCTTTAAAACAGCCAAGTAAGACGTGATTCCCTCACCCCACTACAGGTAAGAACCACGGATCCAGCTCTAAAGGCAAGACTCTCTTATAGTCCCGCAACAAGTTTACACGGGACAAGCCACAGTACTGATAAGTCTATACACAGATATTCTTGAATAAATTTAAATAAAAATGTTTACATGACAGAATCACATTCTATCATTTACACATGACCACAATCAACTTTTTTGTTGTTGTTCAGTCACAGCTAACTCTTTGTGACCTCATTTGGGCTTTTCTCGGTAAAGATACTAGAGTGGTTTGCCATTTCCTGCCATTTCCTGCATCTTCCTGACTCTAGGCCTGGCAATCTATCCACTTTGCCAATTAACTGTCCATGCCAAAATAAACTACTTTAAATTAACTATAATATCATTTCCACAAAACTGGACATTTGAAAAGCCATAATTTAAGCAAGATGGCAACATTTTATTTGACTGATTTTTCACTATATTCCAAATTCATAGATCCACCAAATCTCTAAGTCGAAAGGCAACTAGTTCATTACATCTGGACAGAAATCTCACCTACAATATCTCTAACAAGTTGACAGTCTGCTTTGGAAGACATTCAGGGTACATACCACCTTCTAAAGAAGTTATGTTCTTTATTGCTTTATTAATTAATTATAGAGAGGCCATTATTTTCTTGAATGAACATACATGAAGTGATAGAATCATTTCATGTAACAGTAATGGCTCAAAAGGTTATTATAGCCCTAGATCATAACCACTTTCTACTGCATATCATAGCTACTCCTTAAGCTGAAACCTATGCATTCTAAGAAAATATTTAATTAACTGACTTGTTGATGACTGTGGTACTATTTGGGCAATACTCAGGTTAAAGTTCTATAATACATTAATGAGGATAAGTTACACAGTAACAAATTTCTGATTATTAGGAAATAACATTGGAATAATGATTTCAAAAATGGTTTATAGGTCAGTGATAGAGTGAAGAAAGCTGAGTAGGCTAGGCAAAGTATAGGATTGAGGCCCTGGTTGTGAACTGGAACCTGGTACTAGATTCTATGACAGGGTAAGACTGTGTGACATGATTTATCTTTCACCTCCCCCTTGCCTCTTGCTTGTGCAGGATATAACAACTAAGTGAAACATGGTAATAAGACTAAGATCAGATTCTCTCTTGTACAGAACAACTGAAACATGGACTTTGGAATTCCTCTAATTTCTGTTAAAGAAAACATTGTCAGGAAGCTCTTAGAATATGGGATATCCCAACACCATCCTCCTCACTGAGTCCAAATTGTATGATTAGGATTAGCATCTCAAGGCACTTAAACTAATTTGCATATAGGGCTGAAGAATCTTTGTCTTACATCTCCAAAGGCCTCATGCTATCCACATCCAAAGAAAGAACTATGGAGTTTGAATGCAGATCGAAGCATACTATCTGCTATTTTTTTTTCTTCTGTTGTATTTTGTTTTCTCTTTCAGGGGGTTCCTCCTATTGGTTCTAACTTTTACCTACAATATCACTAATGTGAAAATATGTTTAATAAGAATATATATGTACAGCCTATATCAGATTATGTGCCATCTTGGGGAGGGAGGGGGAGAAAAATTTAAAACTCAAAGGCTTATGGAAGTAATTGTTGATAATTCGAAATGAATTAATTAAAAATTTTTTAAAAAAGAATCTTTGTCTTAAATCTTTGAGTTGTTACAGTTTATGAAAGAATTGCCATGGGACTAGAAAAAGGTGAATGTTCTTGATTCCTGGTAAATTTTAGCCTGAAGTATCAAAGTAATAGTTTGCATATACTTCCAAAAAAAAGGTTTAATGAGGGGAATAATTAAAAATTGACATGAGTTCATTAAAAACAAGTTATGCTAGACACCTTAGATGTTTCCTTTTTTTGTTGTTAAACTGTCAGTAGACTATGTCAAAGACACAGTGTGCCCGAATTTCAACAAGTTATTTGAAAAAGTTTCTCACAAAATCTTTCTGGACTAGATGAAAAATGTGGAGTGTATTAAAGGAAAATTAGGTAGCTTTGGAGCAGCTTCATTGGGAAGACCCAATGAACCCTAATTTAATCGGGAAGGCAGTCTGGAAGACCAGTCTTGTTCTGGTCAACATTTTAAACTGATAATCAGGAGGAAGTGATATATGGAATGCTTATGATCAGATTTGTTAATGTCATGGAATTGGGAGGGGCTGCTGATAAAATAAGTCACAGAACTGAGATTCCAAAGGATTTTGATAAATTGGAACCACGGGCTGGTACTAAGAACGTACAATTTAAATGGAATAAATGTAAAACCCCGGACTTAGATTAAAAAAAAAAATCAACTGAATATGCACACAATGAGAGAAACAGTTTTTCATAGGAGTTCCTGAGAGAAAGAAAGTATTTGGTACTGGGTCATAAATTTAATACTGATGTGGCTATCAAAAGGACGAATGTAATCTCTGCAGCAAAAGTAGTACAGCATCCTTAGTGAGAGACATGACAATCCTCTACTCTGTCCTGGTTGGAACATTTTTATTATTACACTTAGACAGGACACTGGAGAACTGCAGCGCCTTCAGAGAAACAAAAAGAGAGTTCAGAATTCAACCATGACTCATATCACAGGAGGGTCTGCTAGGCAATTGAGGGTGTCTAGTCTGTAGGAAAGAAGATTTAAGGGATGTTGGGATAATGGTCACCAAATATTTAGAGAATTAGAATGCAGAACTTGACTCTTTAAGGGAGAACCAGGAGCCCTGGGTGCACACTATAGGAAGGTAAATTACAGCTTAACCTAAGGAAAACATCCTCAACAATTAGAGCTGTCCGAAATAGATAATTGGCTGTTTCATTTAGGTAATAAGTTTTCAGTCACACAAGGTCTTCAACTACTTTTGAGGGGTAATACAGAGAGGGACTGGTTATTTGGGTTAAGGATAGACTAGATTAACTTTAATCATTAATGGTAAGATTTTATTATTTTGGCATTTTTAATGCCACACATTAACACTGTAAAACACTAACAAAATGTAGTGTAGTTATCTAAAATGATATACATTCCCAGATACTGACATTCCAGGTTATTATTTTGGCATTGGTGACTAATAATTTTAGCCTGGCAATAAGAAAGAAATCAGTACTACAATACGCTTTCACACGCATCCAGATTCATGGTAATTCTGTTATCACAATTATTTTGTTTACTAAGGGCAAAATAATTATATGATGAGGTAGTATAAGTTAACTTCCTTATCGTGTAAGAAATTTATAAAAATGCCAGCAGTAAACACTATCCATGGACTCTTCCTTTACTCCATTATTATACAAATAGAGATGAACTTTTTCAGTTGGTCCCTGTACCTCCAAAGAAAATTTCAACTCTTAAAATCAGACAAAAATGCATTTAAAAGTAAACTAAATTCTGAAAAACTCCCAATAAAACTAGCATGAAAGGCACTTTTACTGAAGTAAAATATCAGAAATTTGAATATCACTTTTACATACCTGTTCTGGGTCACTTTCATCAAAACTTTCTTGGCTTTCCTCCGATGATCCTTTAAATTCCAATTCTCGTGTTAAATCTATATTAATATTTAAGTAAAATTTTACTTTGTTTAGAATTACTTTTCTGATGTGAATGAAATCCCCCAATTAACAGTAATGGCAGTTATGACAGCTATAATTTTCTAAATCTATTTTAAAATAAGGTATAAAATGTAAGAAATTTTTATTTTACTAATTATGATTTTAGCTGAATATTTCGTAATCTCAACCTACTGCTACATTTTAAGTTTCTTGTGAGATGCTCATATCATACCAAATTACAGGAAGCTATGAAGATTGATTTAGATATTTAATCTAGTTGAAACTATTACATTTGAAAATGAAAGGTAAACTCAGAGAACATAGTCCGTTGCATGATCAATTTGTTACTTAGGCTAGCAGCGACCAATAAACTGGATCAATGAGATTTCTCAATGACCAAAAACCATGGGATAGAGATCAATAGCCTTCATGGAGTTTGGGGAAGTACAAGAGAACAAAAAACAGAGTTGGGTAGGTAGGGAAAACAATGAGACAGGTTATAGAGTAGACAGCACCATGCGGATGAGGACAACATGACTGACCAGAAATTGGGAATAAGCAGTTAGCAACAACCTCTTACTTCTCTCTTGTGACTAATAAATATTCATTGCTTGAGGCTACCTGCAAGATTACAGACAGTGGACCAGACTATGGATAACAAACCAGACATCCTTGAAGGATACCTTGGTGTTATAAAGATAAGAGACCAGACTCCCTGGCATTTACATGCGTTTTTCAAGGGTAACAGATTTCCTTGATAGAAGAATAGACTAGTGACTAAAAGAGAAATGGATTTCTAAATTTAACTCATCACAGGACAGATGAATTTCTGAACTAAGTTCAGAGACAAAGAATCGTGACTTAGGCAGTGAGAGGACAAAATCAATTTAAAAAAGACAGAATCAATCTGATCATTTCAAAACACAGAGAGAACAAAACCTAAATCTTAATATGTGAAACCATTGGCCAGGACTATCTCAAAAGAAGTAGGACAAAAAGTCTTCTTCCTTGGTACCACGTTGCATAGGGAAATAAAAGTAAATGAGACCTGTGTCATTAAGTAACTCTATAAACACTCTGATTAAGCCAAGAAAACATGAAAACATGACATGCAGATAATACTCCAGCAGTTAATTTGAAATTCACTTTAAAACTTTTAGTTACCTCAGAATTAGATAAGAGTATGATTACATGGAGAGAAATTCACAGAGGCGAAAAGATTAACAGAACTTCTAAGGATTAGGAAGACATAACTGTATATGCCAAAGGTCAAACAAATCTACTGAAACAAAAGCAACATAAACAGTTAAGCCTGAATATGATATAATTATCTTAATCTATGGAACTTCTAATAATGGTATGACAAAGACATTCCCTGGTATGGTAACTGTATTCCATTCAAACCAATGCCATGGAAACAATTACTGGGAAGCATCAATTAACCAGGTAATTTAAGACTAGTAGAAAGTTAAGTCAATTATATTTAGCTCTGGGGAAGATAACTATAAAGAATCCAAAATGACAGGAAAAAAAGAAAGATTCATATATGGATTTTATACGTGAATATATACCTAGATAAGCCTAACGGTCTTAGGATTTGAAACACTAAAAAAAATGAAGTAGGAAATCACAGTTAATCGGAGAGGAGAAGACTAATTTAGCATGCAGGCCTAAACTACCCCCTTTCAGTGTCTGTGGAATATGTTATACTGATTAGAGTAAAAAAGTCAAAATACCTGTTAAAAAGACACCTGCTAGATTCTAGGCTGCATGACAGGAGTAAGAACAGGAAGCCAATTTTGTCATCACATGACTTAATCATTTATTTTGATTACCTACACTAATAAAGATTGGAATGTGACAAATTGAGCATGAAAATGACAGTTTATAGAGTTTAAGTACACCCTTTTCAAATATGACAAGACTACTTTTATACTAGTTTTGAAAAGAGCAAATAAAGGACAATGATGTAGGAAAGGGATAAACACCAGAATATACAACAAACATTTAATTTTCTGAGTCTTTAAAGTTTTTCCCATCTTTCACTTAATTACAGCATCTCCTCAAGTTACTGTCCAGTACCACCCCTCCTTTTCAAGTGTCTAATTACTAGAGTTATTTATAATAAGTCCTCAAACCCTTTTATCTGTCTTTGGGCCTTATACTCTACTGAAACTACTCCAAGGTTACCAATGGTATCTTAACTGATAACCTGTTTATCAGTCTTCATCTTTCTTGACCTTAAAAAGCCTCAGATACTGTTGAAGTCCCTTGCCTCACAGATAATCTCTTTTGATAATCTTTGTTGGTGATCTCATCCACTCTCATGATTTCATTGGGAAGTGGGAAGAAAAAGTCAGACCAGACTATTTTCACCTATTGACAGGGTTACTGGACTGACTGACCAGGGGATTGTGGTCATAGTTTACCTAAATTTCAGCAAAGCCTTTGACAAATTTCCTCATGTCATCTTTGTGGACAAAATGACAAACACAAGTAAAAACACAAGATAGATAAAGTATGGATAGATAAACATTTATCAGAATTTGTTGGATTTTGTTAGACTATATGTTCAACGTGAGTCAATGTAGCAGCCATAAGAGCTAGAGCAATTTTACATTTCATCAAAAGAGACATAATGTCCACAGGAGGGGAGGTGGTAGCCTGGCTGACCTCTGCCTTGGTCAGACCACACCTAAACACTGCGCTTAGTTTTGGACACCACATTTTAGGACCGGCTCCTGGACATCTCACCCTGTATGTCCTCCTGGACCTTCAGATTCAACACAAATAAGCCTGAACTCATCATTTCCTTCTCCTCCCTCCTCTACTTCTGAAATCATCAATCCTTGCATATTTCTGATCTTTGTTAAGGACAGGTCATCTTCTTAGTCATCTGGTTCTATGTCTTTGACACTTCTCTCATCTAAACATATGTGTGTGTGTGTGTGTGTGTGTGTGTGTGTGTGTGTGTGTATGGACATACACAAAAGTTGTTAAGTCCTGTTGATTCTACGTCCATAAAATCTGTCATCCTCTCCCTTTTCTTCATTCCTTCACATTCAACTTCACAACCTCATCAACTTTTACCTGGATTTTTGCAATAAATTACTAACTAGTCTTCTTATCTCTGGTTCCTACCTTCTCTGGCCCATTCTACACGAAGCTGTCAAGTCATCTTCTGACTAACTAGGCCACTCTCTTGCTCTAAAGCCTTCTGTGGCACCCTACTGCCTCAGCTCAGGGGGCATCACAGCTATGAAACCTTCTTTCCACAACCATCCTCCTTTTTCATGCTCTCTTCCCCCTCAATTTTCCTAGAGCATTTGTATCTCTCTCCCTTACTTCCTTTACTCCAGATCTTGTTCACAGAAAGTAAATTCCTTGAAGCAAAGAACTGCTTGTTCTTATCTTTGTGTCCTACAGTACAACTACAGGCACTTGATGTACACGTGATACATAACAGTTGCTTAACGTATGTTAACCTGAATTGGGAGAATACATAAATAACTGGATTTATGCGTCTTCTCACAATGTAGTATAAAAATACAATTTGAAATATGGTGTTCAAAACACAAAAGTAAAAACCTGAGGACTAGAAGATACATCTTCTATTAGGCATGATTATAAAAAATTCACTTATTCTCATTATTGTAAAGAAAGGGAAAAAAGGAAAATACCATCAATGTCATCTGCATCATCTAAACCAAATTCTTCCATTAAATCTGTAATATAAATGGGGAGGAAGAGGAGAAAAAAGAAATATGAATACTGAACATTCTTTAAAATATACTTCTTTTCTTCCTAAATTACAGAATTATGAAACTTACATGACTTTTGTTTTTCCTTAACTCCTTTTTCTACTTCTTGGTTTGTGAAAGAATCTTTCATTTCAATACTGAGTTGAAGGGGCTATGAAACAAGATAATTAAATAACAAGATAGTTATACTTAAAGTTTTCAGTAAATATCAGATAATACATTAAAAGTATCAATGTCATTACCTTCAAATTAGGATGTCTCTCAAGATAATCTGAAAAAAGAATAAACAGTTTTATCATCAGCTTTATTTAAACAGTGTAATTCAATCACAATTTCATGCAAAATGAATAGACTTGTTGGATCCCATTACAGGATTTAAAGAATGACTGTTTTAATTTGGCATAATTCTTATTATGGCATTTGTATGACAGTAATTGGAATCAATTATTAGTCCTTGAAATAAAATAAGAATATAGTGTTAGCACAACACGTAATCTACATTTCAAATAAATCAGATTTCAAGGGACTCAAATACATATGTGTACATATACCAATAAAAAATAAGCATGCTCATCAATGACACATATAAAGATTATCCTTTTTAAGAGATGGATAATCAAGTTCCACAGGAGGTTAATTACAAAGTTGATACTCTAATGCAACAGCAAATCTTCCAAGCAATGAGAATGATTCATGCAATTATACTACAAGTGCTCATAGTGTTGATGATTCCTTAATAAGTAATATAATTTGTAAAATCAGGCATTATGTAAAGAGTAAAGATAAAATAGAATTTAAAACAATATATAAACCATCTTCTTATCACAGAATTGAAGGGCTAAAAACAAATGTTCTCAATATATCCACTTAGATGTGTACTTGCAGAATAATAGTTAATAACACATTTTCATTTCTTTCCATACCCATGTTGCCTACTGGCATGTCTATACTTCTTGTATCTATTAGTTTATCCATCTTAAAGTTTCTTGATCCACTCATAAAAGACGGTATATAAAATAAATCTAAGAAATGACGCACAAAAACTTTTTATTTTGAGAGTTATTTTAAAAAAGCAAAATTGTTTTAATAATCTCAATTACTATTTCAATATTATTAATATATGAAAACCCTTTCAACATATGTAATTTAGCATTAATGGAAAACAAACCTATTTACATATTGACAATCAATCTTAGAAAATAAAATTTGAAGTTCTGAAAGCATCATATACTTTGCAATATTAAATTAGTTTATGATACATTAGGCCAAAAAATTCTTAAAAATTTGTTTATGATACTAAATTATAAAATTAATTTTACTATAAGTTAGTCCACAAAAGTATTAAGAAATTGAAAGAAGTTTTAAAATAGGTACTTCCAAAACAGCATTGTTGCTTTACCTCTTATTTATTCCATATGCATCAGTAATATAAGCATCTTAACTAACTTCTGTGTAAATGGTTTTTCCTCACTCAACTAAGCTAAAAAAGACAGTAATTATTCTCCTCTTCAGAGAGAGGACAGACAAATTGCCTAATATATCTTAGTGCTCTTTTTCTTTATTCAGGCATTGAGGAAGAAAACACTCTAATTCCTATCAACACCTGGAACACATGTGTTTAATTTCCAGTACAGAGGAATAGCCCATGTGCTAGAGGTGAGCAATGCTTGTCCTTATGTGTGTATTCTGTGTGGGCATCATTGAAAGCATGGCAATAAGGTGATATTCTTTTTTGCCTCAGAAATTAATGAAGAAGACTGTATTTCATTCAGAGAGGTGGGGATGGGAAGTTGGCCTCAATCTGTTACAGTTTCCAGAGCATCTAGACTAGAGTCTAGACCAATGAACTCATGGGTCCTTAGGGTAAGTGAACATTTACATATAATTCTTTTTGTTACAATTTTATATTTGCTCTATATTTCCTTTTATGAAAAGTTCAGAAAGAACAACGGTTGTTGTGTCTATGGTTAGTAAACCTTGGGATGGATTATAGTGTCAGGTAGGTAGCAGTAGGGAGCTCTGTAACAGTTGATAATGTTTATAATAAGTATACCTTTAAAAGAAACCAATAAATCAATATATTGGGAAACAATTGTCAAGAAGACTAGTAAAATCCAGAAAAGCTTCACGGAGTTTAAACCTGAGAAAGTTTCTGAAGGAAGTGAGAGATTTCTACAAGTGGCCTGAATGGATACATGGGGGTAGCACAGGACCTGACAATATACAGAATAACTAACAGAACAGTTTGGCTGAAAAAGAGAGCAAAGACAAGCAGAATGAATTCAGGTTGGTTAGAGGCCCACTATTAAGGGCCTTAGAAGACAGCACTCCTTCATCTCCTAAACATCTGTGGCAAGCGATTTTTCTCCTGAGTTACTGGAAATTTTTTTTATCTTTGTCTTTTATCCTATGGCCACCTCATTTAACACCCTTAGGCTATATAAAATGCCAACATGAAAGAAAATAAGCCAAAAGTTGCTAAGAATAAGGAGGGCAAAAAGCATGATCTTATTCTTGAATACATGAATTTGAGGAGTGGAGACATGAATATATGTAAAAGTATTAAGAACTCCCAGCACTGAGGCCCTCATACCCTCCTTAGAAATTTAGGAAAGTGAAGGAGTCTTTGGTTGCTTTCTCTTCCTGGTTCCAATGCAACCATCTTCTATTATCTATATTTCTGACTTCCTGTAGCCTACCCTTTTTTTTTTTTGTCACCATTTACTGACATCAACTTATGGAGCCTCTCATTCAAAGTTACAAGTGTCTAAACCTAAACAGCCTTTCATAAGCAGATACTTGAGCAGCTAGATGGCATAGTGGATAGAGCACCAGCCCTACATTCAGGAGGACCTGAGCTCAAATCCAGCCTCAGACATAACACTTACTAGCTGTGTGACCCTGGGCAAGTCACTTAACCCCACTGCCTAGTCCCCCCCAAAAAATAAAAAACAAAAAAAAGCAGATACTTAAGATTTTAAAAATGAAGTTCATAAAACATTTTCCTCACTTTAATTTTATCTGTAGACACAGGGAATAAACAACCAAAGGTTTCAGATCCAGGAGATGAGAGAGACCAGTGAAGTCTGAGGTGCAGAGTGGATGGAGAGATGGCCCTAGAATGAGGAAGGCCTGTGCTCGAGTCCCACCTCTGATTTTCATATTGGCTGTGTGACTATTAACAAATCACTCACTTAACCTTTCAGTACTCTAATCAACTCTCTGAGATGCTAAGTATCAGAGAAGGTACTAACTTTTATCATTCTGTTTTCTAAAACTAACCACCATGCAAAGGATGGACAATTACTAACAGAGAAAATTACTAAAACCAATTACTAACTCCATATCAAACATATTTATTTCTATTCTCTCTCTTTCCATTGAACTCTTCCATTCTCCTTTTAATACCTCTCCTTCAACATTGTTCTCCTATTGTATTCCTTTTTAATCTCTTCTTCTGATTTTGCTCAGGCATGGCTTCAGTAATACTGCTTAGTCCTATAGTGACACTAAGACTTTGTGCATCTTCTTTTCTTCTACATATTTGATGACAGAATCACTTCCCCACCCCACCCCCCAGATACCATTTTTATTTTTTTTAAACAAACCTAACTATGTAACAAATCTAACTATATATAATCTTACCTTCACGTTGTCCCATTGAAATACTGTCTTTTACTGTTTGATTTGTGGCTGCAGGTGTATGCCTGGCAGATCCACTGTGCAGACTTTCAGTGGCACCCTAAGCAAATGAAAAGATCAACAACGCAGTTAGCAAGCCCACTGCAGAAAGCAGTCCTGAATGCTTTCTGCTGGTAAAATGTGAACTTCCCACTGAGACATGAGAGTTTTACAGAAGAAAACGGTTTTACAAAACATTTTCTTCAAAAGCACAACCTCATGCTTATGCTTTTCAAGTTCACTCTTCTATTTTTGTCTTTACATGAGATAACACTGGTCAGTGTGGTGGTATAGGCTGGAGTACACTTTTTCAAACGGAAATGGCTTACTTGTAGGTAATGATAAAATTTTAAGTCCAGACATTATTGCTATGATAGTTATAATATTTTATAGAACATTTAAAATATTCTTTCCACATACGAACAATGTGGGAGAAGAAAATAATATTTGGGGCTGAATGTACAGTATATAATCCCCTTAGAGAAGGTGGCAAAGCCAACAGACCCCTGGGCTTAAAGTCAGGAAGATATATCTTCATGAGTTTAAACTTAGTGTCAGACACTTAGTAGCTATGTGACCCTGTTTGCCTCAGTTTCCTTATCTGTCAAATTAGCTGGAGAAGGAAACAGCAAACCACTCCAGTACCTTTGTCGAGCAAACGCCAAATGGGCTCATGAAAAGTCAGACACGACTGAAATGAATGAACAACAACAAAGCCTTGCACAGCTCAAACTGAGCTAGGTAGGTTTATCAATATACATACACACATATATGACATTTCTGACAGAAAATTTTAGCTTAATCACACCATCCATATCTATTGTACTTAACAACTCATAGTTCATAGTGGAGTATTCAATACAATTCCCACACTTGGATTATATACATATATATTTTTTTCTTTGTTTCATTTCCGGGCCTCATGCTTGATGTCTAATACATATAATGGCCTCCAATCCTCTTGTGAGTCATGATTTTTTGTCTCTCTGGTAGTTGGTCTCCACTCAACATTCTACATACACTAAAAAGCATAAGCACATTCACTGCCCTTTTCTTGTCTTCACACTTCATGCTTCTGCCTTTGATTATTTCCAACATAAAGCTATGAGTTAATGCCTTCAACTCTGCCTATTTCAATTACAAGAGAGATTCCTGTGTGACCCAAATTTCTGACCCCCTTGGTCAGAAGACATGGAAAACCATCTGATATTACTCTCATAATCCTAAAATTCTAGCACTCTATGAGATACCTCCATTTAAATATTTCCTGAGAACTAACATGTTAAAAAGTTACCTTAGCCTGTCATCATGTAAGTCTCCCAACCCTTTCTAACTTCCTTGTCTCTTTCAGTGATATCTACATTTTTTCTAGGTCCTCATCCTTAAAAACTCAGCTATCTCCTTCGCTCTCTATAGCTAAATAATCACTACACACTGCTGAAACTTTCTCTAAAATAAACAACATCATTATTTACTCTTTCCTAATTCCACCATCACTCCAGTTTATTTCAGCATTTTATACCTATCAAAACATCTTTTTTTGCCTATAATGTACCTCTGCTCCAGTTAATCTTCTATACTGATCACAAAAAAGCTTTCCTAAAACACAAAATACAAAATACTATTACACTGCATAAGAAGGGACAGTGGCTCCATGATGCAAATCAAATCCCAACTTCTAAAGCTATTATTCAAGACCTCAACTCACACTGCCTTATTTGCAGAAAATAATTTCCATTCCCTATTATAGGCCATCTGTTACAACAAACCTTCACTCTTTACATTCCTTGCAACCACCCTTACTTCCTTCTGCCTATCCTCTCTTCTGGAATGTTTTCCTCCCTCTTTTCTGCCAATCAAAATTTGACCACATCATTAAGTCCTAATTATTACCTCTTCCATGAAGGCTTTTCTGACTAACCACAACTTCCTCTCCCATTTCCCTTTGTATTGATCTCAGCAGCTGTGCATGCAAGTTGCACAGAAATTTGCTAACAGTGGGCCATAAAAATCATCTTAGACACGCATTTGTTCTATCCCATCACTTAAAGTTAAGCTACTCATGCAGAAGGGAAGCAGGGTTGTATACTAAGTCTTTGTCTAAATCTCTTACTTTACTGGAATATGCAGCATAAGGTACTATGGCATCTGTTCACTGAATGACTAAGTAAATGAATGAATGACACTTTGAAACTGGTAAGGTATTAAGGGGTAGAGTGGAAAGTGTATGGCCTGAGAGTCAGAGCCACTGGATTCTATTGTTGGTTCTGTCACTAACCAGTTGTGAGATCAAAGGCAAGTTACCTGACTTCTCTGGGGATCAGCTTTCTCATGTGTTAAATATAAGTAGTTGGACTAGATTATTTCTAAGGTCTCTTTCAGCTCTAAAATTCTGGTTCTAATTCTACCAAGGCAATTGCAATGATTAGTAAATAAGTAAATCTGAAATGCAATTTTAAAGGTAACAATCAATACTGAAGTTTCAAAATAACTTAACAGAAGATACCTCTGACTCCCAAGGAAATTCTGAATCTTCTTCCTCTTCTAATCCTAATGCTGACATCATTTCTATAAAACACAGGCAAAAAACTATATTAATAATTACAACACCTGCGACTGAGAACATGAAAACTGTTCAAATATGTCTATTCATAATTCCTGCAGGAAAAATTAAATGAAAATGACAACAGAAAAAAATTCCAGGAGACAAAAACAGAATAACAGAGCAACATTTGGATTTAGGGATTTGGGGAAAAGGAAGGTCCTTCAAAGAAAGAAGTTAGGGGCTAGGAGGTAATTTTATACAAGACTACACAACAAAATTCTTTTCTAAAATACACTTAATACTGTGTGTGAAAAGAAGAAAGAGAAAGATTGTTTATATTTCATATACTTCAGTTAGGTCAGAACATATTAAATTTATAGGTTCGTAAAGGCATTTTGTAAAAATGATATTTTGTAAGCGTATTCTATAACTTGAGGGGTAGCACTGCACAGTGGATAGGAGGCTGGTTTTGGAATAAGGAAGACCTGGGCTCCAGTCACATTTATGATACATTGGCTGTGTGACCACAGGCAAGACAATGAACTTATTAGTGTCCCAAGCTACTTGGTAAGAACAAATATAAGTTGGAGGCAGCTAGGTGGTGCAGTGGATAGAGTGCCGGCCCTGAAGTCAGGAGGACCTGAGTTCAAATCTGGCCTCAGACCAAACACTTGACACGTACTAGCTGTGTGACCATGGGCAAGTCACTTAACCCCAACTGCCTAAAACCAAAAATACATATAGATATAGATATAGATATAGATATAGATAGATATAGATATATATAGATATATATACACATATATTAGCTGTAGAACAGTTGCCAAACTGTATTGGTAGAAATTTCCTCATTGGGAATTTTCTACAATGATGAAATCTCGGGTCCTGTGAAACAATAACTTGCCTTTTCTAACAGCACGATTCCCTGCTGTACGGTGAGCCTGAACTTCATTGGGAAGATACGGCGTTTCAGGAAGTGTTTGTTCTCTAGCACCACTGTCAACTGATACAGCATCTTCCTGTTCTTCCTCCTCTGATTCTGTTGATGCTCCCTATAATTAATGAGAATGAAATGTACAATGTCCTCCAAAACTTTTCTTTAATCTACTGCCAGCATGAATAATACAAACCTATGCAACATACTAGAACTGCCAGATGTTGATGGACCTAACAATCAAATCAGTCAAAGAATTAGATGTTTCCAATCACTTACTTTAGATATTTGATTTACAGAAAAATTCTTCTCCATAGGTAGAAATACTAATTTACAGCTGTAAATATTTATTTACCACTACTTACAGCAGTAAATATTAATTTACTAAATACACTAATTTATATATGCTAATGATTTAATTCTTGCTTCAACACATTCTAGTACTAGGAAATGAGAAAAATAATAGAATAAACAGTCCTTATGCTCAAGTACTAATCTAGCAGGGAAGATAAGCTACCCTCTGATTGGAGGGAAGAGCCATGAACTCCAAAACCTCCAGTGGAGGAGACAGCCCAGCATGGACCTCTCCTCATTTCTCACCACAACTTTAGGACTTCTCCACCAAGCCCTAGGAATCTTATGATTACGAAATCCTCATCACCCTGCAAGATTCCATCAGCCTTGGTACTCCACCTAATCCCTACCCACTGTTGCCATGACTGGAGGAATTTCAAAGCCTCCATTGAAGGAGACTGCTTGGAACAGATATCTCCTCATTTCATACTTTGCTGCACTACTGGAGAGTTCTCCAACTTCACTCCCATGGGCCATCACTAGGTAGCTTTCCCCAAACCCCAAATTATTGGTTTCCTTTGATGATGTGTGTTGTTTTCCTCTGTAAGACTATAAGATCCCTGAGGGCTGGGACTGTGTTTCTTTTTTTATATTTACATCCCTGGCACTTAGCACAATGCCTAGCACATAGTAGCTACTTAATCAATGTTTACACACACACACACACACACACACACACACACACACACACACACACACACACATATATGTATATGAGAAAGAAAAATCTGTGAAATCTCTTTGACAATTACAAAGAACTATAAAGGTTAGAGAACCAGTGAAAGATTTACATAGGTGGTATCATCTGATTTGGGCCTCGAAAGATAGCTAGAATTTCACATGGCAAAAAGAAGGTGAGGAAGATATTCCAAACACAGGGAAGAGTGGAAGAAAAGGTACTGAAGGAGGAAAGGATCAAGGTACATTAAGGAAATGATGAGTAATCTAGTTTGACTGAAACAGAGATACATGAAGAGATAGATTTAACTTCAGTTTCATTTAAAATGTGAATATTCCAAATGCTTCAAGTAGATTGATTAATAACATTGTTAGTTTTTAAACTGACTTTTTCGATAGTTATGAGAAACTAAAGTCATTTGTGGATGCTTTAGATTCACAATTAATTTATACAGTACGTGATAGCTGGGACTAAGTCTTTCTTGTTTCTGAATTGCATATAACAAATGCTTTGCATATAATACATATTTTGTAAGTGTTAAATAAAATGTTAAACTTAATTATTAAAATTTGGGGTTATTATGACTGCTATCAAAATATGAAGGAGAAACTGGAAATGAAATGTTGGAATTTGAGATTACAGCTTTTTTTGTCCCACTTCTATACAAGATCACAATACAATGTGAGCTAAAAATATAAACTGCATGGAACAAAAATCAAAGTTTTGGAAATGAGATGTATTTAAAAAAAGGTTAGAAGGAGTAGGATTATAATAGGATTATTGTTCAAGTTCTGATTTATATTCCTCTGTTCTATGTTAATCATTACTTTCAAGAATCAGTGTCCATCTGAAAACAAAAAGGGGCAACCTTAAAAGTGATCACAAATAAAAAGGAAATTCCTTTTCCGAGTATTACAACTCTTAAGGTTAAAATTATAAAGGTCTGATAAAAATATTCAGGAATCATTTTTTTCTGAGTATTTTAAAAATAGAATGTTAGGGATGGCACATGACGCATTCTCAATAAGAACAAATATACATAGTACTTGAATCTTTCAAAGTTCCTTCTCTTTTTATGATTCTATTATTACTGGAAACCTTTATAGCTTATGATCAACGAAAACTTCCATTTTCATTCATTTTACACACTTAAGTAAAATATGTGGTAGCTATTTAAGTTTCTGAATAAATGAAAATAAAGTTATGGCCTAAAATATTTTTTCACATATTCTTCTTGTTCTATTTTACCTAAGAGAACAGAACCAAGTCTGAGGGTTTTTTTTGTATTTTTGTGTTTTTTTTGGTTAGGCAATGGGGTTAAGTGACTTGCCCAGGGTCACACAGCTATTATGTGTCTGAGGCCGGATCTGAACTCTGGTCCTCCTGAATCCAGGGTTGGTGCTCTATCCACTGCGCTACCTCGCTGCCCTAAGAACAACTAAGTTGTAGAACTTTAAAATTAAGGGGTTGAATGGGCAAGGTAACCTGTAAGGCGCATTCTACCTCTAAATCTTGCCCTTCTAAAAAAATAATTTCTTAACCAAACAAAATATTCTGGTTTTTTTAATCTTAAGAGTAGTGGCATATAAATTTGCACCTAAGTTTCCAGAAACAGATGTTATAATTAACATGGGAAATTCTGTAGGAATGTTCATTAACTACTTTTCTTCATTCATTTTAAATATAGCTTCATTTCTATCATATTTAATAGTATGAAGAAAGAGATTCTGTTGATTATTCAAAACTCCTTTTTCCTTCACATTTTCAAAATCTTCTTCATCTTGACTTTGTTCTTCATCTTCTGTATCTACATATTTTGATCCTTCCTCTCAGTCTACAGCGTCCTGGCTATCTTCACTGAATTCCTCCCCCTCTTCTTCCTCCTCTACCATTTCATCTTCATAATATTCTAATCGTCCTCTTGGCTGCTTTCTAATCCTTCTTCTTCCTGATATTTCACATCTGAATTGTCAGGACTCATCAAGGTTTTATCTTCAATATGTAAATTTCCCTGAGTTTTCTTTTGATATGACTGTTGAGGACTTTCATTTCTAGAATCCTTGCCATCTTCATGAAGTGGGGATGAGTGTGGGAGGAAAGGACAGAGGGTGAACAAATATGGAAAGAAAGATAGGAACCATAGGCAATATAATTACCTTATTAATGCCCAGAAGAGTAGACATCATCTGGGAAGACCTTGAAAAACATCCTGTATTAAAACCAAATAAAGAGTACATGAACAAATCTATCATTTCATGGCAATAAATAATAATATAAAAGTGAAAAGTCCTCAGCTTACTGTTTTTCCTTATTTGCTGAGAAGCGTTTGTTATTTTAGTTAAGTTTGACTTGGTGAGTTTCTGCCAAAAATAAAAAAGAATAATGAGTTTCAATTCCTATATAATACTAATATTTAATACCCCACATTTCTCTGAGGTTTACCATTGTAATGTATTTAATCAGATTGTTACATAGAAAATTAAATTTCTGAACTATTTTGCTCACCAAAAACTGATTTACCAAGTAATGTAATTTTATTGTTCAATGCTTTGTCATATCATTGAAAAATACTAGATTTTAGAAATTACTATTTCAATGTGTCATTCAAATCACTACTTATAAAAAAGAAAGTTAAAGTCTCTTAGTCATTAGTTTTAGTTTCTTTATGTGTTTTGGAATGGTAATGATTGCTCTGAATTACTTCTTTTGTTAAAACTAAAGGGAGGAAGAGATGACTGACTGAAGTATCAAGCCTGGGGAAACTAGGGAAACGTTGATGTCAGGCTCACTTTTTCTAGGCCTGGTTGTTGGGTTCACTCATTACAATTGACACCTTCAGCAGGAAGAAAGCAAAGGTTCCTGCTAGCAAGAGGCCACTAAACTGACAGAAATGTAGCCTATAAGAACGTCAGTTCACACAAGATCGTGATTGCCTTCATTGCACTGCTGAGAAAAAGCTGAGATCTTGAGTTCAGGTCTCACATTTTCATCCAAGGATCAGGACTCCTGAATATGTACTCAACATCAACTGCAAACTGTGCTTGATTGTTTGAACTTTTTGGTTATAAGTTTGCTTACAACTATCTGGGTCTAAAAAAAGCTATGAAAGTGCAGTGTAATGGTGGATATTTTATTGTATACTGTTTATTGCTTTGAGTCAATGCCAAGAATCAAGTATTATATAAACCTGACCAAAAAAACCCCACCTAAAACAGCAGTTCTTTATATTTTTTTGTGTCATAGGCCTCTTTGGCAGTCTAGTAAAACCTATGGACCACTATTCAAAGAAATGTGTTTAAGAACATGAATTAAAATACATATTTTAAATAGGAAACCAATTAAAAAATGAGAAAATTATGCATCCATTCCAAGTGGGACCACTACAAATTTACGTTACATAACCTCAATTGGACCTTTACTGATTCTAGGCAAATCCTACCATACCTCCCTTATTAATTCACTATCCCACTCTCCACAGCTTCTCTTCCATACCTTTTCATCCCCTCTCAAACCTTCCATGGTTCCCTCTTTCCCCATACTTGCTTCATATTTTATAGAAAAAATGGAGGCCATATGACATCAGCTCCCTCTTCTCCCCTTTTCTACACCTATCACTCAGATGCCTTCTGCTACTGTCTCTTTCATCCCTGTGTCACATAATAAAGTGGCCTTACTCCTTACCAAGGCTGAGCCCTCTACTGGTTCAGGTGATCTTGTCCCATTCCATCTCCTCCAACAGATTTGCCCTCTCATGCTGACTCTATCATTTATTTTTAATCTCAGTCATCTACTAGGTCATTCTCTATTGCCTACAAACATGTCCATGTCTCCCACATCCTGATAGAACTTTCACTAGATCCTTCCATCTCTGTTATCATCTCTCTTCTGTTCTTTGTAGTGCCATAAGTTATTGCCACCATGTCATACTGTCTCCTTACCACAAGCTGCCAGAAGTGTATATGTCATGTACTAAGTAACAGACATGATCAAACTAGACTTATCAACAATTTCTTAAGAAAAGGGTCTATGAGGGCAGCCAGATGGCAGGGTGGACACATCACCAGCCCTGGAGTCAGGAGGACTTGAATTCAAATCCAGCCTCAGACACCTGACATTTACTAGCTATGTGACCCTGGACAAATCGCCTAACCCCAACTGCTTTGCAAAAAAAAAAAAAAAAAGACAAAGAACCATGAAACTGAAACACAGTATTTACAAAAAAAGAAATGTGGGTCAGAAACCCAAAAATATCTACCAAATCAAACTCAGCATGTTGTACAAAAGTAGGAGATGAATATTTGAACAAAAATAATGGATACAGCATCAAGCCTACAGTCAAGAAGATTTGAATTCAATTATTATCAGACACTTACTATCTCTGTGACCCCGTGGGCAAAGGGAAGGTAACCACCTAGAAGGGCATGGCAGAATTGGACTGAGCTGAGTTAGAAATGATATTTTCAGCAATCTCTAACAAAAGACTAGTTTTTAATGGTTGTGGGAACTTCACTCCCTATTTCCCATATGCTCAATGCATACATATTCAAGCTTTTGACTTTTGTGCCATTTTCTAGGAATGTTACCTCCACAAAACTGAAGACTGACTGTATCTGATACATATCTCTAAATTAGATAAAATGCCTCCAAATGAAGTAATGACTGAACAAAAAATATTAGTAAGTTAATGAAAAATGTTCCAATTTCCCAATAATCAGAAAAGTGTAAATCAATACAAGTTTATTATATCTAATAGAATGTCAAAAATTTCTAAAATTATAAATTGTTAGAGTTGTAGGAAATTCTAACATGCTGCCGTTGGGACTGCACATTAGCTGCAAATATTTTGGAGAACAACATACAAGACTCATAAAACTGACTTTCACTGCTAAAGTTCCATTACTATGAATTCATCCTAAAAAGAGCACAGGAAGGAAAAAAAGGACCCAGCTGTACAAAAATCTTCATGGCGGCTCTATTTGTAAGAGCTAAAAAATTGGAAACAATTTCTTTATGGCAATACTTGGAGAAGAGTATATTATGTAATGGGTCACTGATTTAGACCTAGGCAGGACCATAAATATCATCTAGGAAACAAGGACTTTTCTAAGGTTATTTTCTAAGGTATTAAAGAGCAGCATTCATGGAATATGAACTCAGGTTCTCTGACTCCAAATCTAATATTCTTTCCAATGTACAGATGAATACAAAGGTTACAAGGAAATATAGAAAGGGATACAGAGACAGCAATAGAAAGGAAATCGTACACACATTGATTTTATCTAGCTTTTCAGTAAAAAAACAAACTAGAGGTGTGAAAACTTGAAAGAATCTAAAACCTGACACAGAACAAAAGCTTTTTTGCTTGTAACTCTTATAGCTCCAAACGCATTGAATTCATTAAATACTAAGGACACTGTTTAAAAGTTTACTTTTTGTTCATTTTTCTTGATGGCTATTATTTTTACAAAGCAGAGCACCCACCAAACTGAAATTTAAGACTAGGGAAAATTCCATAAAGAAACTTTACCTTAGTACTAAAATCTAATTCTTCTTCATCTGGTTGGACAAGAATCATCAGCCCCAGGATTGTCACAGAGTCTTTTAAAAAGAAAGCAAAAATGGGTAGTTTTATTTCCAGAAGAGAATCATCAAAAAGGCTTTGTAATTGTTGTCATTGCTATATTACAAAGGATGACTTAATACAGCAGGGTATGTCAACTATTCCTACTTCAAGATTCAGTTTAGCAGAGAAGAAAATATTGTTGTAGAAGCCATCAGTGGGTTTATCCTCCAGGATAATCTCATTTTCTATTTTTATACTCTTCTAAAATTGAAAAACGAACACAGTGGGACATTATAAATCACACTATCACCAAAAACCAGCAATGTATTTCTAGCATGGCATTACTCTCTGTGCCTTCCTTACAGTTTCTGACAAACACTTTCACAGTGTCTCTCATTTTTCTGGAAGGTACCTTCCACAGACTTCAACTCTAGACAGGACTTGTATTTGCTGTTGTTTGGTCCTTTCACTTGTGTCTGACTCTTCATGACCCCACTTGGAGGGTTCTTAGACAAGGTACTGAAGTGGTTTGTCATTTCCTTCCCAGCACACTTTACAGATGAGGAAACTGAGGCAAACATGGCTAACTGATTTGTCCAGGGTCTCCCATCTAGTAACAGTCTGTGGCCAGATTTGACCTCATAAAGACGAGTCTTCATGATTCCAAATCTAGTCCTCAATCCACTATATCTAAAGGCCTAGCTGACCTCTAGATATGTGAGTAGGTCATATATTTCAATCTCAGAAAGATATTTATTACAAGAGCAACCATTCCTGGATGTAATCTAATCACTGACGAACCTGGTCAGATAATATTACAGAATAGAATAGAAACCATTTTCAGAGTAAATTAGAATATTCATGATACCTTTTTGATTTGCAATGGCCATCTGCCTATCTACTACCAATCAATGTGCAACACTTCCTTTAAGACCTAATTTAAGACTCATCTCCTTACAGAAGACCTCCATGAATCACAGAATCAGAAAAATCAAGGTAGGTCAACAAAAAATTTACCTGGTTCCCTAAACACACAAGAAGTAAAATTTTTAGTCATCATTTTTCTAGCTAGTAGCACTTCTGTATTGCTGTGGTCATCTGCTTTCACGGAGTTTCAACTCTAGAGTTATCACTCTATTCACTTCTTTGGGAGAAGGGGGATTCAAGGAGGGTAGGGTGTATGACTTGTGATTTCATTGGCACAGGGAACTTCCAGAGAGGAAATAATGCAGATTGGCAACTGTCCTGTGTCAGAGAGTTGGGAACATTGAGGGATTCAATGGCTCGCTTAGGGTTACAAAACAAGTATGTGACAAAAGGGAGACCATGCTTTATCCTTATTCCCAGACCTACTCCTTATCCACTACCCCAAGGCGCTTCATTTCTCAGCTCCTTAGGATTTCTGAACATCTAGACAGTTTTTTTTTAAAGCTCTTCTTCATTCTTTGATAGGCATGCCCAGTTTCCTTTTCCTTCTTCAATTTGCCAATTGATTTTACTTATTTGGTCTAGTCTTTTTAAATCCTTCTCCTTCTACCTCTCCTTCAGTTGGCTTCCATCTCCTCCTCTTCCTCATAACATTCACATTGTCTTCTTCCTTATATCCTCCTCCATCTCTTCAAACTCTCCTTTGACTCACTTTCTTTTCCTCCTTTAGATGGAATCTTTCTCCTTCAGCTCAAGTCACTTCAGTTTCTCAAGGTCTCCTGAATTTCTTCATGGATCATGTGGATTAATTAATTAATTAAAAGAAATATTAACCTGCTTGAAAGCCTACCTACTTACAGATTCTTCTAGAGAACTTTCTTACACTACTGGAGAAAAGAGTAAAATACAATTAAAACATACATACTAATACATGACATTAACATTAAAAGTAGAATTTATGAAGCTTTGCTAAAATGTGTTTTTTGGGACATGACAAAGACCCTCGATGCAAATAAAATTATGCTAGAGATAAGTGTCTTAAGTATCTAGGCTCTGTGGGTACAAAGAGGTCTTCTTCAAGCATCACATATCTGTCAATGATTTGTCCACATTGGCCATTTCACTAGCAGGCTCTTTCACAGCATAACATCACTAGATATCATAAACAGAAGGAACAAGCAGACATAGTATGATTAATTTAGGCTTTTTTATGTAGTTAGATTGAGAAAGACCCTATTTGTTTCACCTTTCTCACCACATACCTCACAGATGAAATATTTGGACATATAGTACTGACACATTGAGCACCATGTGGCATGATCTGTTTGGTCCATTCTGTAAGTCAGAGCAGATCCAGAGACTACTCTATTTAGTATAACACAACAATAATGTACCTTGCATAGACCTCTACAGTCCTTAGAAGGAAGGGACTGATGAGTCGCAAACTAATATATTTTCTCTTTTCAAGCCTTCCCAGGGAGGGATGTTAAAAACAAAACCAAAAACTTTATAACATCAACGTACATCTGTTCTTTCTTCTGACCTTCTCCCTCAAAATACGGTCTAAAGATAGTTAGACAGGTAGTGAAAAAAGCACTTCTTTTTCTATCAACCACTAGTCTAAGGGAAGTAATTAAGAGGTGACTATTTGCCCATTTCACTGGGTGCATTCTTTTATTATTTGATTCACAACTATTCTCCAAACTTTACTTTCTCCAATTCATGGAACAAGATGTTGCCAGATTTCTTTTTCACTAGACTTATTCAACCAGATATGAGATTTCATCTGTATGAAACTCATAGTGAGAAAAATTACAAACAATTTCTCTCCAAATTATAGTCTTAGTGAGTTAGTAACTTGAGGAGGTGAAAGGTTAAGCAACCTGTGTAGAGTCAAACAGCTAGTAGGTATCAGAAGTGGGTTTTAAACAACTATGACTTCTTACTAAAAGCCAGCTCACTATCCAGTCTTTCCAAATGGCTAAGACCTGCAACAGTGCTCACTTTGTCCACACAAACCTTGAAATTTAGTCTTACGGTTACATCTTGATGAATTTTAGAATAAAACTTCAGTACAGAGCATAATACATACTGAGTATCTATTTTATTGCGACTCTTACATTGTTTCTCTCCATTAAAATGTAACTAAGGTAAAAATGTTATGTCGTATTGGGCTGAACAAAATGGTATTCCTAGACTTTCCCAAAGTGGACGGTCATAAAAAATAAGCTAAATTCATACTGAACAAAGTCTCTAGTTCTCCTCCCTAGTTAGAGATGATCAGGAAAGAGTTCACTAGGGTGTTTTTAAAAAGCATTAAAAGTTCTAATCCCCTCAAAGCTGGAGAGCTGGCACACAGTCTCCAGAGGAATTTCATATCACAGACATGATTCGAAGTGGCACTTATGTTATAGGATAAGGTGAAATTTAAATGATAAAGCAAAGGAGAAAAATCATGCTTTGTGGGCTTGGACATTACTACCTGTCCAGAGCCTCTTGTGGGACAGGATCTCAAGCAACTGCAGTCCCATGGTTTAGACTCTCCTTCATTTTAATATTTTTAACAATTAGAAAGCACCCAACCTACACTATATAATGCTTCCAGCAAAACTTCAGTATATTTAGCAACTGCATGGTCACACTAAAAACAGAATAAAGATCAGGGCAGTAGCAGCTTGATATCACTTCCTTTTTTGAGGTATATAAGCAATTAACTTGAACTAGACACACAAAGATAATCTGCAAAACTATTTGATTAGTTTTATCTTTTTATATATATTAGGAAGTGCAATTATAATGGTAATGTGATACATATCAAGATAACATCAATATAAATATAAGTAGAATTAACTCAATGCAATAATGAACAATACAAAAAAATTACCAGCCAACCTGGAGCTCACCCACTCTCGTAATCTTGGCCTGAGAGTAAACCAACCAAACGCATGCGCACTCATCCCTGCGTGACTACCCGTGGGCCCATGCGCGTGATCTGCGGGTGTGATGCACGCATGCGCAATCCACCTCTCTCCCTCCCTCCCCTCTCCCTCTCCCTCTCCCTCTCCCTCTCCCTCTCCTCTCCCTCTCTCTCCCTCTCCCTCTCCCTTCCCTCTCCCTCCTCCCTCTCCTCCCTCTCTCCCTCTCTCCCTCTCTCCCCTCTCTCTCTCTCTCCCCCCCTCTCTCCCCCCCCCCCGCAGCGTTGCCAAGGCTACAACGGAATCCATGTTTGAATCTTCTATAACAGTTGCGCACTCTGGAGGCTCTTAACTTCCAGTCTCCCGCCATTGCAGTTTTCTGGAGCGGAGGCGAGGGCCGGAGAACGTTTAAATTCGAAAAACAAATCTGTCGCTGGTTCTCCCGAGCCTCTCTGACGCCCGACATCAGGATGAAGAAGATACTCAGCTTCGGCAGCAAAAGAGAGCTGTCTCCCTCTGGAGCCTCCTTCCCCCAGCGGAGGAACAGCCGGGTCCGAGCTTTCGGCCCTAGTTCAGGCTACCTCCTCAGGATGCCTGGGGAAGATCCACAAAGCTGCCTCCGTCGGGGACGTGGCGAAGGTGCAGCAGCTGCTGCTGCTGGGGAAGTCAGGAGTGAACGAGGGGAATAAAGTGAGCCGGTAAGAGGGGCGGGGAGGGGGGAGAGAAGGGAAGGCCCCCCTCCCCCGCAGCCTGAGACCCCCCACCCCTCCCTCCTCCTGCGAGAAGCTGTTCCCCTCAGCAGCAGGGACAGGGCAGCGCCTCCCGGCGGGGGCAGGGCCAGGCTTTGCCTCCTGAACTGAAAGCCGGCCTCGCCTCACCCTCCTGCCTGTCCAATTCTGATGAACGGGAAACTCTTCATTGTACTTTGAGTTGGGGCGTGTGTCCTACTCTCCGTGACGGCATTTGGGGGGTTTTCTTAGCAAAGATGCTGGAATGATTTGCCGTTTCCTTCTCCAGCTCCTTTTCCAGATGAGGAAACTGAGGCAAACAGGATTAAGTGACTTGCCCAGGGTCACATGGGTATCTGAGGCCAGATGTGAAGTCAGGAAGATCCTGACTCCAGCTCCAGCACTCTTATCCATCATGCCTCCTAGTTGCCCCATCTGGTGAAATAGGGCCTCGATATGTGGAGTGTAAAAGCGTCAAGGCAGAAAATTATTTTCTGCTTTTATTAAGCATTTACTGTATGTGTCAGACACCCGGGTAACCGCAACAGATTCAAAGAAATGGGGGAGCGGGGATTGTCCCTGCATTCTAGGAGGTCTAATGGGGGAGGTAATCAGCAAGAGAGACTGAAAAGGAGAGGATCAGATATTTAGGAGGAGGACCAGGAAAGAGTAGTGTTCAAATGTGGCCTCAGAGACTTACTAGCTTTGTGACCCTGGGCAAGTCACTCAATCCTGTTTGCCTCGGTTTCCTCATCAGTAAAATGAGCTGGAGAAGGAGATGGCAAACCGGCCCAGTCTCTTCACCAAGAAAATCTCAAATGGGGTCAGGAAGAGTCCAGTACAAATGAAACAACTGAACGACAACCAAGATGGTCTTTGAGATTTGCTGTTGATAAACAATTCATCCTCCTTTGACCAACCTGGTGATATCTTTAAGACCTTCCTTAGGTTGGTCCATGGACAGCAGAAGTACCAGGCTCTTACTTCAAACCTTGCCAGCATGGTAGAACTACCAAAACTTGCACTTTACTGGGATAGCCTTTAGCGACACAGACCTACTTCAACTGTCCCATGCTGCATTGCAGTAAGGCTTTAGTGGAGAATGCAGACACATGTGTACATGTGCATATACAAATACACAGCATGCAAATATGTAAATGTTTTTCTGAGGGAGCTGCTTTACTAAATATTTTATAATTATGGGTATTCTCAGTGGAAGGAAGTTGTTATTAGGCCTAACAGCCAGGCAGGCTGATACACACCTGTAATCCCAGCTACCAGTGAGGCTGAGGCTGGCAGATCTCTTGAACTCATGAGTTTTGATCTGCAGTGGGCTATACTGTACTGTGTCTGCACTGAGGCTGTATGACGAGTCCCAAAGTACAAGAGGCCATCAAGTTGCCAAGGGAGAGGGGAACCAGCCAAGGTCAGAAAGTGAACAAAGTTCCCATACAAGTCTGTAGTGAAATCTTGATTTACCTGTTCTTCCCCACTTCCCCGCCAACAGTTTTGTCCATCATATTTAGCAATAACAGCTAATGCATATTTTATATTTCTTCAGGTGACAGTAGTGGCCATTATACGTATTTTGGCATTGACTTAGAGTTCATGCACAAGAACAATAATGCATTTTATGTTAGAAATCACACTAATAATTGTACAATTTTGATTGTTGTAGTACATTGTCAAGCAATCACATAGCTCTTTCATTTCCATAGGATGCCTCTACACCTGGCCTGTGCTAATGGGTATCCAGATGTTGTGTCTCTCTTAGTAGAGAGAAAATGCAATCTAAACCTACGTGACAATGACAGTCTAATGCCTTTAATTATGGTATGTACTAGTTAATGGTGCTGGTCAATGAAATGCATTTTGATTTCTCTATTTGATTTAGAAATATGCTTTACTAAGTTATTTAAATATCACTAATGATATTTTAATATACTAAATGTTATATTAGATTGTTTATTGTTTCTTTCTCTATATTGTATTGACAGGCATTACAGTGTCAGCAGGAGGAATGTGCAATTATCCTGCTCAAACATGGTGTAGACCCTAATCTTGTGGACACCAACAACGCTGCACTTCACTATGTTGCCTCTGGACAGAACACAGCCATAGCAGCAAAGCTGCTTAGACATAAAATGGATATTGAAGCCAAAAACAAAGTAGACGTCCATCTCCTGCATAATATAGTATTTTGTGAGTCATCTCTCACATGACTTGCTACATCAAATTCATTATTGCCTGAACCTCCTTGTACTCACCATGCATATTTCTATTGCCTCTGAGATCATCTACAATTTTGATCCTTCTGAGATTGTTTTTGGGTTTTGGATTTTTAAAAAAAAATGACTGGCCACATAGCATTTGTGAGAGAATATTGGTGTTTATAAAATGAACTTTTGTGGCAGTGGGGTCATTGGAAGTTCTGTGTAGTTTCTCAAAGGAGTTGCAGTTGGATCTCCTTTTCCCAATAATTATGAGCCCAGTACACTGCTGTTCTTCCATACCCATCCAGGCAGTGTGTATGTGTATGTCTACATATATAAACACCTCTACAAAGACGTAAATTCACTAAGTAGATGGGGCTGCCCTTTCGACTCGCATGGAATCTAGAAAATATTTACTTTTCATCCACTTTTTCAGGGTAGATTCTTAGACTAATGTATTTTGACTAAGTTTGGATTTCTTCAAGGAGCGTTTTTCATGTTCCAGGGCTTGACACAATTAGCACAGTGTCATACAAAAATAGGAGTATTTGTAAATCTTTGCCATCATATACTGTTTCTATTCTGTTTGGACCTTGTGCAGGACATCCAACACAGCACTGGCAAACACCTTAGGTAAGCATATGCCTCACAATTTACATCTAGCTTAATGCTGATACTTACTCATTGAACAAAGTTATCCCTTTGGGTGGCATGGGTCATTGAGTCTTGTGTGGATTTATCATTTGCATGGGAGAAACTTGTTTGTTATCACCAAAATTAAAAAACAAAGCAAAACACGGAACTGATATTATCCTAACAGACAAAGTGACTGGTTATCAGTGTTGGAATAATTTCAGACTTAGTTGTCTATGTTCATTCATTCAGATCATTGACTGGCCAGAATAAAGGTCAAAATTAACACAAAGGAGAAGAAAGGTTAAAGGTGTAAAGGAGACAGTGGTTATAACAACTATAGGCTGTTGTGTCTAAATAAGCTATTAACTCCCCCAAATGAGAAATGGACATATCACTCATCCGGTTTACAGACATGTTAAGCACTGCTGTATGCTAAGCACTATGCTTGACAGTGAACATATGTAATTTCTCAGATGTTTAATTAATATAAAACAACTGCCCCAAAGAGAAGGCCAAAAGAGCCCAGAAGAGGCATTAGCGGGGAAACATGATCTCTGCCAAAATGAAAGCTATCTTGGCTAAGATAAACTCAAGCTTCAAATACAAAATCAAAGGGTGTGTGCATACATTGGTTGCCCTTTGGACATAGTTCCAAATTGCTCTCCAGAATGATTGGATCAGTTCACAACAAGTAGTGCATTAGTGTCCCAATTTTTCCAAATCCTCTCCAACATTTATCATTTCCCTTTTTTATCACATTAGTCAAAGTGATAGGCATGAGGTGGTACCTCAGAGTTGTTTCTATTTGCATTTAAATAATCCAAAGTGATTTAGAGCACTTATTCATATGCCTATAGATAGCTTTGATTTCTTAACCTGAAATCTGCCCATTCATTTCTTTTGACTATTTGTCAGTTGGAGAATGGTTTGTATTCTTATAAATTTGATTTTGTTCTCTATATATTTGAGAATGAGCCCTTTATCACGGATACTTGCTATAACGGTAGTTTCCCAGTTTTCTGCTTTCCTTCTAACTTTGGTTGCATTGGTTTTGTTTCTACAAAAGCCTTTCAATATAATCAATATGATATAGTTTATATTTGATAATGCTATCTCATGTTTGGTCATGATTTCTTCTTTACTCCAGAGATCTGACAGGTAACTATTCCTTGGTCTTCTAATTTGCTGTGGTGTCACCCTTTATGTCTAAATCATCTACCCATTTTGATCTTATCTTGCTATATAGTGTGCGATATTGGTTTGTGTCCCATTGTTTTCCAGTTTTCCCAGCAGTTTTTGTCACATAGTGAGTTCGTATCCCAAAAGCTGGGTTTATCAAACACTTGAGTTCCTATGGTCATTGACTACTATGTCTTGTGTACTTGATCCACCACTGTATTTCTTGGATACCAGATAGTTTTGACGATGACTGCTTTATATCTGGTATTGCTAGACCATCTTCCTTTGTATTTTTTTCATTAATTCCTCTGAGGTTCTTGACCTTTTGTTCTTCCAGGTGAATTGTTTGGTTATTTTTTCTAGTTCTGTCAAATCATTTTTTGGTAATTTGATTGGTATGGCACTGAGTAAGCAGATTAATTGGAAATTTCATTTTTATCATATTGTCTTGACCTATAACATGAGCAATTGACATTTTTCTTTATTTCTTTATATGTCTTTATTTCTGTGAAAATTGTTTTGTAATTGTGTACATATAGTTCCTGGGTTTCTCGGCAGGTAGACTTCCAAATATCTTGTTTTGTTTACTGTTATTTTGAATGGAATTTCTCTTTCTGTTACTTACTGTGACTGGTTTGGAGGTGAATATGGGAGAGTTATGGCTATTTACTGTGTACTTCCCAAGTTGGCTCCTGGAATTAAACATTAGCTTTCCAAAACATAAAAAAAAACAACCTAACAAAAGAATGCAGTGTGGTACATTGGAAAGATGGTACTCTAGCTGTAGAGTCAGAGAACCTGGCTTCAAATGTTGCCTCTGATGCTTACTACAGTATGACCTTGAGCAACTCACTTAACCTCCCAGGACCTCAGTTTCCTCATCTTTAAAATAAGGATGTCTGATTAGGTAGCTTCTGAGATCCCTTTCAGTCCTAAATCTATGATCCTATGAAAATTATTTAATTTTAAGTATGTCTTATTTATATACCATATTGTTTCTTTTTACTATTTGCTACAGACTAGTCTTTACACGATAAAGTTAAATATTTTGAAAATTAGAATAACATTTTTATAATTTCATCAAATGACAAAACTAAAAGGTTTAAAGTGTTTCTGAAAATGTGTAACAGGATCATAGTAATATATAGCACATTGAAATAATCTTCTAATGGTGAGGACTGAAGGATTCAGGGCCATCCTAGTGACCCACAGCTAGTCAAACCCTTCCCCTCAGTTTGCTGCTGTCCCACCCCTTCAGTTTTCTATATAAGTGAAAGCTCATTGAGGAAACTATTGGAGGGAAAAAGAAATGAAAAATTAAAGAAGGGTTTAGATTAGAGTCTTCAACAGCCAAAAAATACTATCTGTTAAAGAAAAAGGGTTGGAGCAATCTTCCTTGCTATATATCTTGGTGACGATGGTGGGTAGGTGTTATGGGCTGGCTATACAGCTGAGAGCCTCAGGACTTTTTTGGCCTCAACTGAGTCACCTCCTTTTCTCCTTAGAGACTGAATCTCTGAGTCATTTGGCTGCTGCCTCGGTCCTGGTGGAAAGACTACAAAAGCACTGCCAAGGATAATCACCCAGATTTGATACCCTTAAAACAACTCTACTAATTTCCAATATAATTTTATAGAATATAAGTCCTTTTAGTGACTTCCTTAAAGATCAGATTAGTTAGGAACCCCAGATTTGTCTTTTGTGGTTTGGTCTGGTTTGGTTTGAAAACCTTTCTTTTTTTACTCAATTTATTTATACCATTTATTTCGAAAAGACTTTAATGGAAGGAACTCAATTTTGCAAAAACTTTAATAACCTACATACTTTAATTGTTTTCAGAGTTAAGAAACTGCTCAGGGAAAAGTTACAATTATGACGGCATTAATTTAAAAAAAAACCAATTACTTCAGAAAAATGCTTTTGCGTGCTTTGAAATGTTCACAAGAATAATCTAATGAGAGGCTAGCCCAACTCCTGAATGAAAAACAAAAGAATAAAATTTTAATCAACAGTTCTGTTTAATCAGCAGTCCAGTTCTGGAGTCACCTCACATTGGGAATGTTAATAACGGTATGTTCTTCAGTAGAAGTCTTATTCTAAGAAGAAATTTAGTATATTCTAATGGAAACATATTGTCTTCAAAAAGCAGAGTGGAAGGCTACTTGGCAAAGGTTAGTCATTTAGAATTTTTTTTCTACCTTTATGTTAAAGATATAATGTAAGAGATATACATCTTAGTGAAATTTCCTATAAGTATTTTTGAATGTATCATATTGATTTTTGTGATCTATTAAAATGAAGGTCATCCTTTTACCTAATGATAATTAAAAATGCTAGATAATGAATTTTAATTTTATTAGATACACAAGTACATATGTACCAGTCAGTTAACTTCTCAGATATAGTCATATCTGGTTTTACACAATTTATGTAACCTTAACAAATGGCGTTCATATAAAGATTCTTTAAGTTGAATACTTTTTTTTTTATCACCAACCAATACTTAAAGAGAGCTTTATCTCCTCTGATTTATTTTCCCATGGCAATGGCATCTTAATACTTAAAATACAGTCTTTCTGGGATTCTTCTTTCTGTTTCTTTTTCGGAACAAACACATGTATAAACACAAAAAAGCTATACCCATATACACTATTTTGTTGTTGTTGTTCTTGTTTTTGGCTTTTGGGTGAGGCAGTTGGGGTTAGGTGACTTGCCCAGGGTCACACAGCTAGTAAGTGTCACGTGTCTGAGACTAGATTTGAATTCAGGTCCTTCTGACGCCAAGGCCTGAGCTCTATCCACTGCGCCACCTAGCTGCCCCTATACACTCTTTTTTAAAGAGTATCTTAGAGAAATCTTTTGCAAAGCAATCTCATGTGATATGAATAATTATCTCCTAATTTAGCTTTTTAGTTCATATTTGTATAAAAGTTTTCTTAAACGAGGTATATAACCTTAAGAGATATTATATATCTATGGCATCTTCCTCCCACTTCATTAAACATGCCCATTTCTAAGGACCTCCCAGCACTGGCACAATAAATGTAATGCAGTCAACATTAAGTTCAGCAAAGTTTAGATTTTTTTAAAGACATTGCTAAAGTGCCTTCAAAAATGTGTATATTGAATGAATTAATCAGTCAGTTACTAAAGATGAAAGGATTAAGCTTTATGGGTCTATATCTTATAAGCATCTGGGTGATATCAATATAATAAAGAAACAGGAATGTTAGTTATAAATATGTCTTCCCTATGAAGCATTTAATCAGAATGTTCATTTTAGAAACAGATTGTTCTGTCATTTTGAGAAAAGTATTCCATGTGAAAGTCTCTTTATTGCCTCTAACTTCACCCCTTCATTTTAGTTGTACAGAAACAGGCATTATGTTCACTCTTTCCCTTTGAGAATCAGCTCACCTTCATGACTTTTCTTTTGTTTCAATGAATCTTTTGGTGTAAGATCTATAAATGTATTCTTGCTTCTTCAGCTCCTTGATCAACCATCTGTTTCTCCCTTTTCAACTATACAGCCACATCCATGCAACATAGTCAACATGGCTCAGTGTTCTTTTTGGTCCTCTATTTGAGGGTTGGACCACTTTGGTCTGATATCTGATTTTAAAAACAAGTATCATTTCATATTAAGGCATTTTAGAAGAAAACTGAATATATTAAATCAAGTATATGTTGTAGAAATGGTTAGAGCAGAGCACACTTCATTTTCTTACATTTGGATAAATCACCTGCATCTTCTCACCATCTCACATTTAAATGCATCCTGAGCACATGACATCCATCACACTGCAATCTTAAGAAATGTAAAAATTTCATGAAAACGTATTGCTCAGTACTGTATGCAAATACTTTAGTGACTGTTGTCTCAAAAGATAATGAAACATTATTTCCAACATGGAATCTCAAACCCTACTGTTCACTGTTAGCTTTAAGTGCAATATTTCAGGAATCAGTACTGTTCAAAGTACATTGTGAACTCCTTGGAGTTAAGGACTATTTCTCCCTTTCTTTTGCATTGTTTGGGGCACAATACACAATGGTTTCTACCTAGCAGGTACCCAGTTGAAATTTTATAGTTGAACTAGATAGTTGAGTGGATGAAAGTGCATTTGTATTCAAGTACTCTGCAATATTATGCTGTCTGCATTCATTTAAAAAAAGTTCATGTATCCATCTTAGTGTTTATTTCTGATATTTATTTTTGGCCTGTGATTTCATCCATACAAGGAGCTCCTAGTTAGGAACTTCCTTTATCAGTACAGATCAGCAGCTGCTTTGTAACCTGTAGTATTAAGGAGCCATGGAAAAGAGTGTTTTGTGTGACTTATGGAGAGATACCTAACAAGCATGTGTCAGATATGGCACTTGAATCCCTCCTGATTCTGAGGCCCTGTGTATTATCCACTAAGCCACATTGCATTTTAAATCAAAATTGTCTCAATTTCAGGAAAAAAATTAAAAATAAAGACTCAGACATCTCCTCTTCCTTTTTTAAAGTTGAGAATCTCTTTTTTCATTTATTGGTTAAGGCCTGCTTATATTCTGGCTGTTCAATTTTCAAAAGCAAACTAAAGATTTGCAATGTTCATTTTTCACGATGACACAGTTGCAGATTAGATATAGGATCTACGATTTTACAAATCAATGACGGTATTTTCAAAGAAGGTAAATACATGAGGGAAACCTAATATAATAATTAATAATCCACTAAGTACTTTTCTTCCCTTCCACAGATTTTCAGGAATCAGTCAAAGGCAAGAAGGGAAGCTATTTGAGAATAGGAAGCCTTTTCAGGAATAGGGAGCCTTCTGAAAAGGACACATGGGTTATGATTTACTACTCTACCCATGCTACAGCCTGCCTTATTGAGAAATATAATACTAATAGATTAAGAATGATTAGGGTAACCATATGATAACCTCTGAAGTCTAAAGGTGAAATCATGTGAATTGTCTTTGAGAATATAGAAATCAAGAGTTTTTCTAGGTAGTGCTTCATAGTTAGCAAAATGTTTGACATATATTTTCTTGTGTTATCCTTACCATAACCTATAAGGTTTTAGTGCAACTGTTATTCCCATTTTGCATATAAGAGCACTGTGGCTCATAGATTAGGCTTGCCCAAGGTTATATAGCTATCAAGTTGCAAAATCACTTTATTGTATTTGTAATAATAAAAGAATGCCTTTTTATTTATAGATTTTTGAAAACTGTACCAGTTTCTTCTTATGTTTCTTCTCTAAATTTTTCTTTTCTAATATCTAAAGTTTATATGTGTTGAAGTTTTGTTTTATTTGGTATCACAGCTTGGGTTAAAATGAAGACCTGGGTTTGACTCTTTACAGGAAATTGGAATTCAGGAAGCTGATATAAAGGGGAGCTTTGTTATTATGCAATTCAGCAAGCCTGGGGAAACAAAGCACACACACAAATACCTTCTGTGGCAATAGAGAGAGACAGGTTCATCCCCAAAGGGGCAAGAAACTCACTCAGATCACAAGGGAGGGACAGGTCAGAGGTGGGGTTCAAGTGGGGAACTTAGATACCCTAAACATGGTCTTGGTGGGAAAGGGGTAATCAGTGCTAAATGTGGGAGGAGGCATTCCTAAATAAGACCCAAAGGTTGGGAAGTTCTTGGGGTCCCTTACTGATACCAGGCTTGGTGAGGCTCAGGTAAGGGGAGTTTCTTTGCTGAGACCAGAAATTGGGAGAAGGTCTGAGTTGACTATCTGAGGCAGCCAAAGAAAGGAGTAACTCAGACTGCCACACATGGCCAAGAGTATTTTCCATTCAGAAGCTGTGAGCATTAACTGTTGACCCAGAGTCAGAAGAGTAGCAAAGTACAACCTTGACAGTATTTGCCCATATAATTTATGGACTTAGGCCCACTTAGCCTAAGTGACCTCATATTGGAGTCTTATCATGGTACTTCTAATATCAAATAATAAAAACTTCAATTATCACGAGTTTCTTTAATTGAAATATTTTTTTCTAATTAAACCAACATAAAGTCTACAATTGTAAATACATAATATATACAGATATATGCATACATAAGTAGGAAAGAACAAATTATTGCTAGATTTGAAGGCAAGAAGACCTGGGCTCAAATCTCACTCTGTGCACCAAATGCCTCTGACCATACACACACATACATACATGTATACATACATACTCACATGCATATGCATGTATTATGCATACACAGAAAAAGGAGATGGAGAGAGAGAGAGAGATCACCAGAAGAAAGTGCCTTATTCACTGAATTAGAGTTAGACCTTTGTTAGGACTTTGAAGCTATTCCCCAAAGAGAGTGTGAAAATCCCTACTGACATCATAACTGGGATATTGTTCATATTTAGAAAGTAAGGAATGTCTTTTTCCTGGCTACTTAGTGGCTTATTGATTCCACATTTATGATTGGTTGACACCTGGCTGGTGTGAATCTGAGCCATGCCCCGATCTTGGCCTTTAAAAGGGAGATGAAATATTGGGATTCTTCAGTATGGTATCAGTGTGCATCTAAAGCAAATACCATACCCTACCAAGAAGGTGGGACCAAAATGCTAAACATATTTTCACTGGGCAAGTTAACTCCTTATACATTAGAGATATCTTCAAATCCAGAACAAAATCCTTATCTTTTAATCATGTCATGTTAACTAGGCTACTCCTGATCACACCCTCTACATATAATACATGTACATGTATGTCTATGTATTTCATATAGATAGAAGCACAGAGATATATTTTACATAAATATTAAACATATGAAAAGAGTTTTTTGTAAATTAATTTTTAATTAAATATTTGTCTTCCCTTAAAATATAAATCAACTTTATTTTCTTTTCATAGTGTATCTTTATTAAATTGACAAAACCTTTTATCTAAAGGTTTTGCCCAATGACAAGTTTTTCATTACCTAAGACCTCTTCTAGTAATGATGCTATCAAAGAAAGATTCAAGAAGGATCTAACTCAGAACCTGGGGAATAGATCCACACTCTCCTCTTAACTCCAAGTTTACTACCAGGACAGAAGAAGTTTGCAATATCGTCATCATGAACATAACAGACATCTGTGCAGTTCTTTGCTAGATTTTCTTTTGTGCATTTACTATTGCAAATTTGGAGAGAAATGTCTTTTCTTGAGTGTAAATTTAAATAAGAACATTATATATAAGGAAACTATGTTTTGGTGATGCTTTCCCCACATGTTTTATATTTATGTTGCAACATTTACCACCTATCTATGCTATCCTATTTCATCTGTCTTCTGAAAAGGAAACTATACAACTTTAATCTTTATCAAGAGTGCTCTCCCATCTTCTCTTCCCACTTCTGTGAAGTTGTTATAAGAACTGGAAGACTGGCACCAGTCTCTTTCCTTCTTTCTTTACAAGTTGGAGTAGAAAGCAGGATCTCAGCTTTGTTATTACAATCTACAAAACCACAAAGCATGGATTTAAAAAATCAAATGAAATCAATTTCTGTCTGGATTAAGAAATATTTCAATTAGAACACAAAATGAAGGAGCTGTTTTTATTTAATACCCATCCTTGGAATTTTTTTGTTGTATTTCTGTTGTATTTAATCATATTCAGGCATTTTCTTTTCTGTTTTGCTCGCTATAAGTTGGTGTTCATTTTGTGTTTAGACTTTTTGTAACTTCATCAATATTTGAAATTCTTTTAAAGTATAGGGTAGGAAATTGATTTTATTTTTAAAGAAAAATATGTTGATAAAAATGAAAATAAAAAGGGGTAAGATTTGCTTGCAGTACAAGAAAACTATTTTCAAACCCTGTGACATGACTACTATACCAACAAAGTTTGTGTTTCTTTGTAAATAATTAATTATGATAAGCTCTTGATTTTGTTCATAATAGTATTATTTTTTAGACCAATAGATTTTCTGTTCAATGACTTAAGTCAAACTGAACTAGTGTCTATGTTTATTAGTAATTTCTTTGGCTGTCTGTAATTTTTTAAAAGATTTATTAAATTCTGTATATTACCCTGAATGTCTTCTTCCTCATTTACTTAATTGTTCTGAATAGTATTTTAATGTTATTTCAGATGCAACAGGAGTTGGTAGAAGGGACAGCTAGGGAACTTGATGAAGGTATGTCCAAATTATTCATAAATAAATGTTAGAATTTGAAGCTATTCCTGATTTTTAAATATGCTGAAAAACTCTCACAAAGGTGCTGTTTCAGTGCCACCTGCCTCTTCTTCATCACTTTGGAGTGACCTTGGATTCATCTATGACAGTGAAGTGTGAGATCTAGCAGGTTCTTTCTAATAAGCTAGAAAGATAGCATAAGCCCAGAGATAGACTGTATCTGTTTCCAGAAGACAAGCCTGACCACTTACAGGGACGCTTAGATATAGAAGGCTGGTCGATAGGTAGTGAAGTCTTTGGCCACAGCATCCCACAAAACAGAAGGATAATTATCCTCAGTTCTGATCTTCAGATGTGATGCTACTCAACCACTTTGGGAGGAATGCAATCAAGAAGATTGCTGTTCAAGAACTGTTTGGACTATAGAGGCATTGAAGTCATATCCAAGTTTGCAATTCTATTATTCTGTTTAATTCTGTGATTCTACAGTGATTTCAGAAGAGTGATGGTAAAGGGGGCAAAAGACACTAAGAATCCTACAATTCAAAAACCGTCTACAAATATCATTTAACTATTAGAATCTTAATTTATACTCTTTGTCCAGTGACCATTGGTACTGAAAGAAAAAGTAACATTCATATTGACACACTTGCTATCAATTTAACCAGAAAATAGAAGTTGCTGCTAAATGGAAGTGTGGTTCACTTTTTCCTCAAATAGGCAAATAAAATAATTGGCATGGTTGGTTTCATTGTGAGTCCAAAGGCAATACTAAACATAATTACATAGGAAATAGAGCTCAACATAAGCATAAGCAAGCAGACCACCAAGAACATCATTATAGTAGCAGAAAAAGAAATATTATATGAACAATTTGATGAGGGTAGTAATATTAAGGGTAGTAATAATGACTGTTTATATAATCTATACTCAATAGTGACTATATAGCACTTCAGGGGGGCGGAGCCAAGATGGCAGAGTGAAAGCAGTGACTTGCTTGAGCTCTCCCCCAAACCCCTCCAAATACTCATAAAAAATGGCTCTAAACAAATTCTGAAACAGCAGAACCCACAAAAAGACAGAGTGAAACAAATTTCCAGCCCAAGACAACCTAGATGATTGATCAGAAAGGTGTATTGCGCCAGGCTGGGAGCACAGCGTGGGCGTGCAGGCTGCAGCAAACCTAGAGCAGGCCTCAGAGGACTGAATCGCAGGCAGCTGTGGAGGTTTCCAGACTCCTCAATCCACGAATGCCAAAGACAACTTAGAAGGTCAGTGGGAAAAGTCTGTTTCTGTCGGTGGTCAGAGAGGAAGGCGGGGTTTCAGCTCCATTCCCCAAGAGCCTGGCCCTGGGGGGAGCAGCTGCTTCCCGAGCTTCTGGCCCACAGACTGAGGGGGAGTCCAGTGGCTGATCAGAGAGGGACTGCAGGGATCTCTTTGCCAGTGCTGAGGCAGGAATCTCTTGCTTTGCCCGTTTTTGGATCTGGGTCACAGTTGTGGGTGGTGGTGCTGGGGTGAGGAGGAGCGCTGGCGTGGTGGAGCTTGTAGTGGCTGTGGAGAGGAACCCCTCCTCACAGTTACGGGACAGATAGGAATACTTGTGGTCACAGGCCAGGAAAGGAGTAAACACCTCTCCCCTTATCATACCACCTTGGAAGAACTGAAAATTTACAGGTCCCTACAAGTATCTCTGAAAACAGCTACACAAACCCCTGAAGCTTGGGACAGTACACTCCACATTGGAAGCAGACTCTTACCTTAACAAAGAGTTTAAAACTCAAGTAATTGGCTGGGATCATGAGCAAGCAATGCAAAAAGAGTCAGACTATATTATCTTACTTTGGTGAAAAGGAAGATCAAAATATACAAGCAGAAGAAGACAACAAAATCAAAGCTCCTACATCCACAGCCTCCAAGAAAAATATGAATCAGTCCCAGGCCTTGGAAGAGCTCAAAAGGGATTTTGAGAAGCAAGTAAGGGAAGTAGAGGAAAAACTGGGAAGAGAAATGAGAGTGATGCAAGAAAATCATGAAAAACAAGTCAACAGCTTGCTAAAGGAGACCCAAAAAATATATGGGACTTTAAATTTTGCAAAGCATTTTGCATACATTATCTGATTTGAGGTTCAAAACAACCCTCTATGGTAGGTTACTTTCAGGAAAACTTGAGTTCAAGGCCACCCTATGATATATACTGCCCATGAGACCATGGGCAAGTTACTTACCTTTAAAGCACTCAGGAAACTAAGTTGGACCAATGACTGCTTTCATGCTTCTCACACCCAGAATTCCTTAACATGGTGAATCATGAGTTCCAAGAGAAGAAAAAAATACACACGTACATTTGTATGCATATATGTGTAGAAATAAAAATATATAAGGTAAATTGTTTTTTGCTTCTTTTTTCTCCCAGGTACATCTGAACTTGAATCTAAATCTTGAAGGATTTCTCCAGTAGGATCTCCAAATGAATCCACAAGAATGACAAAGCTGAATCATGATCCAGAAAAATTGCATGCTTTAAAGGAAGAAATCATGGTCATTCATAAAATTAACCATGTTTATATAATATTCAGTGGTTTTCCATTAAATATATAAATGTGAAAAAAATCTAATGTATTAGAAAATATGCTTCATAAGTTTTAATATGTACTGTGTATAAATGTATATGCAAATATATATAGTTATTTATTAAAAACTATTTATTTTTATAATTATAAGTTATAATTTATTATTTTATAATATAATTTAATAATATAATATAACGTAAAATGCTTTATTTTTTATATTTGTAACACTGCCTCCCAAATTGTTAGTTGTCTAGAAACCACAAAATTGACTGTAATACTTCAGTTATTTATGAAGGTTTACTTTGTTTTCTATTTAATGATATTAAATAAGATAGGCAGATTTATTAATTATTGATATCTAACTGCTAAGCCAATTGGGATTTTTATTTTAAGATGAGGACTTAATTTTCAGATGCTTTTTTCTTCAGTTTTGTGTTTGCTATTGGTACTCATCAATTACTTGTGCTGTAAATGCAGGCTGATCCCTCCACTCAGGCTGAAGGTAAACAGGGAGAGAGGGAACACCTCTACCTACATTTTAGCTTATTAGAGAAGGCTTCATAGACAGCACAGAAGATAATCCAAGATGGAATACAAAAAGAGAAAAATCTTGAGGAGGCAGAGAAAAGTTGATAGTGCAGTCACGGAAACTGGTGATAGAAAGGGCTACCAGAAAGAGAGGAGACAACTCTGATGCTGGAGCTATGTAACATGTATCCCATAAATGTAAATAAAATAGTAACATGCCATGCTCCACAGTATTCTGAAGATTGGGGGTGGGGAGAACATCCCGCTGCCATAAGAAGTGTCTCAGGTAGAGAAATTCTTTCAGATGAAGCCTTGGTTTGACACTACCTATTCCTCCCTTGTTGTGTGTTTCACTTACCTACTCAGTCTAGGTTTCCCTCCACCTTTGGACCATTGTTCTAAAAGCATTTTTGACTGTCCTAGCCCTAGAATTTGGTTACCTTCAGAACTCTGGCTTGACCTGGACTACTACTTGAAATGTCTTCTCAGAGCTTGTTAATTGTCCTTTTCACAGACCTCTATAGGTCTCATTGCCTTTCAAGGAAAAGGATCTGAAAACATCAGATTTTTTTTCCATGGATACAACTAGGTGCTCCTCCTGTTACTAGTATCAAGTTGGGAGGATTTGCTATTCTTTCAGAGTGCTGTAAGAGAATAATAGGCAGACAAAAATGGCTATGGCGATGCTTTCCATTGTAGTCTCAGTTACAATCTTTCCCTTTTTTGTCTCCTGCCAGAAACAACAACAATGTAACTGACTGATTGTCTAGAAGGAGCTTAGTTCATGGTTGGTTTGTTTTTTTCTCCTTGCTCTGGAAATTAGCAAAAAAATGAATCAATTTTCTTTTGTTCAGCTCAAAACAACCCTAGAAGAAATTACCCTAGTCAATATATAACAGTTATGAAATATTCCTCTCTGATCTTCTCCTCCTCCTTCCTTTTCCCCACTTGTATCCCTAGATATTTTCTCATTGCCTTTTCCCTGATGCATTTGAGTAATGCAACACATACAGCAGAAGTACAATGGTTAACCATATTTATCTTAGAAAATCTTATGAAGAAGAGGGAAACAGAAGGCAAACTCTTAAGAAATATGGAGAGAGAATAATTTTATTAACTTAAAAAGAGAGTAGAAAAAAGTTTGTCAACTTGGCATAGCCGACTCCGTTTTGATTTGACTCCATTTTGTGATAGAACTATATTAAGTTGTTTTCCTATCAGTTGTTATCAATCTCAAACAATTCTGTGGTATGATCATCATAGGTATGCTTGTAGGCAACTGATAAGTATATGTAGATCCTCTGATAGGACAGACCACCAGTGGTAAGATTTTATAAACAACTTTTATCGGGAGCATATGTAATGAACTACAAATCAAATTATGTGGTAAAAAAATTAGGACCACGCCTAGCTAAAACTGTTAAGAAACCACAGGAAATGCTGCTCCTTGGATGTGACCAGGATAGACTCCCAGGTTCTCTGTCAGTAAAATAAAGATAATCAGCTCATGTTTGCATGAGGGCAGTCTTAAATGACAGAGTTGTCAGAAGATCACCTCAGAGGGAAACTGGCTAAGAAGCAAAGTAATCTTGTAGTGAGCGTCGCTGTGAAAAACACCTACTGGAGTCTCTAAGATGAAGGTTAGTGGACTCCTAGAGGGGGATGATGAGTTAATGCAAAATTATAATCATAGGATCACAGATTTCGAGGTGGGAGGGACCTTAGAAATTCTGAAGTCCAATCTCATTTCACACATGAGGAAACTGAGGATTAGAGATGTAAAGGCCAGAAGCCTACTTTG